CGGCCTGAGTTAACTCGTATTCTAATGATAGAGACTGAAGTATTTAGGAAATTCGATAACTTCCCTCATTTTGGAATTCTCAGCAGTCCAAATAGGTAGGGACCAGATACAATCTTGACCCCGTTTTAGAAAGCTCTATAGGCTCTTGTAAAATTACATTTTTCAAAGAAGAATTTTCTTCCAGAAGCAACCACTTACACAGATAACCAGAATGCATATAAGCACCCTTCCCGGTTAGGATACAACCACAACACTGTTCTTCATACGTAGCATCTAATCGATCTGCTACCCAGTGTTCATAGAAAACGCGCGTAATTTATCCAGGTGTGATGTGCGCTACTTATGCGGATAGACTTAAGTAGTATGTAACAGGAATTAGTAGTAGAATAACAAAAGGATCAGAAGAATGATAAATTATGTAAAGAACAATCTAAGGAAGATATGAAAATTATGTGCTTAATGTATGATTTTAATATCTTATAAAGCTACTGTGTGATTTTGCAAAATGCGATTAGCTGGAATACCTTACCTGAGTTTCCGTTCACTGATTACATCGTGATAGTGTTCCGAAAAAAAGAAGGTATGAAATCACATGGACGAATTTCCACTCAGGATGTATGTCAATCTAACGACAACAGAATCTCCTGAAAACTTTTACATCGTTTAGATTATATATGATTTACCATATAATTTATTTTGTATTACCTCTTCTTTCTTTCTCAAAAGCAATTTTTCTCAATTGGTTAACGATAGGATAAACTCCTCCAATATCACTATACTTATCACTCGAAGACGTTGTTAAAGTTTAGTTACATCACTTTAAATACACTGTTTTCAATAAAAATGAAAATGACACACTGAATACTACATTATAATCATAAATAAGCGGGGCTTACAATTTGCTCGGGTATTATTTTGTTATTTATTAACCATATATAAATGTTAAAAGAGATGATTCATTTTTTACCCATGAACAACAGCCTTCTTTTCAAGACTATTAACATTTAGAAAAACCCACAAGTCTAATAAATAATAGTAATGGTAATAATAATGTCTGGGAAATGATGAAATTAGCAAAGGTAAAATAAGTTGTATGTTATTAATTAAAAGAAAATTGTAACACATGTTAGCAAATACCAACCTCAAATTGAAATATGACAAATGTGTAATTCTTGTTTTTTTTTTAAGAAAAAAACGCTCTTGAACATAGATTTTATAATAAACATCAATAAAGGAAATGGGGATAAGAGATTCTTTTTTTAGGGGGAAAAAGAAACAACGTGAAGCTTTTAAAAACTTCTTTTCATCAAAAATCTGTAAATTGCTTTGTAATAACAATGATAATAAGTAATTCTAGTCAAAAGAACAAATTTATTATTTATTTATTTCAACACATAAATATTGTTACAAGAGGGCACCAAATATATATGCGCCACACCATATTTGTGTGTGGGCTATCATACTGCTCGGGTGCCCAGACCGAAGCAGGTGGTTTTCTTAGGGGGCCACACCCCGAGACTTTGACCTAAAGGTCTAACCCACAAGGCAGTGGAGCACCGTGAGGAAATGCATTCTCATGGTAGCCGGTGACCAACGATTGGTTCATACGCCATTTGTTCCCTCAGGATACTGGAGCCCATGTGCACCATTGGTCTGGGATCCGGTTAAAGCGCCGGACATTCGCTTTTCGTCCTCTCATTTTCGTAAACAACACCCCCGCCACGAGAAGGCGATGAGTAGGACTTCCCTGGCAGAGGCTGTATGCGCGTGGCCGTGTGAGAGCATTTTAAGAGGGAGGGCAGGCCCACCCCACTCTAGGCCATACCAGGGCATTTGGGGATGGAAGATAATATTTCACATATTACATACAGTAGAACATTTTGTACAGTGAAAAAAACTATGTTACGATTTGTTCTAGTCGAATAAATTGGAAAGCACCTTTACTCAGCAATAATGATATACAGTGAGACTATAATTTATGAATGAAGCAATCAAGTATAAGGTAACAGGTCTCGGATTCTGGTGCGAAATTCACTCATCCATTTGGCTAAATAGAGTTTTGGCATTATAGCTGATGTAAGTTCATGATGAAAACCCTAAATCTAATTCCTAACCTTAATCATCAACTGTACATCATAATTTTAATTCCCCACACTGATCTATATTCCCTATTTGGTCCTAGTTATTAGGTGGACACTTTCAAGGTCACTCTAGCGTCACTCAAAGGTCGTTCATAAATTATGGTCTCAACATGATATACAACAGCGTGTTGTAGCTTTTAACAACACTATCCATGTGAAATGAATAAAATTGAGATAAATGTTCATATTTGTTAAATACACAAGAGAAAAATTTGTTTGTTATAATATAATCAGTGAGTTGTATATACATATATATTTTAAATGAAGCCCTTATCACTACATGTGGTGAAACAATCCATATACATACGGACTTTATTTATATAGTTAGCTTTTTCTCTGTTCATTCGAAAATGTGCAAATATAGGATTGTCCTAAGTTCTTAATGTTAAGTTAATTACTCAGTTACTTAATTAAATTATTATAATTACAGATTGAGCGTGTTTTTCCTTTCACTTACATCCTTGCCATTGCTCAATACTAAAATATAGGTTTTAATATAACATAATTATTAAAAAGTAAATAGTGGTGAACAATCAGGCAAGTACATCATCATACTTCAGAATATAACACTTCGTGATTGTACAAAGAAGAACAATAGGAAACATTATTCAGATGTATTGTGCTGATACTGATTGTCAAATCGATAGGAAGGCACATATCAAAGTTATTTACAGAATTCTTTCGATTTTTCCCCATGATTCCAGATCACGTCTAAATATTTTCGTATAGCTTCTTGATCTGCTTTTTTACTTTTTCAATTTTTATTTGGTTTTAAATTTTGTTTTATTCATAATCAATTTTATTTGCCTGATAATACCCTTTAAATATTCAGTTTAGGATTTTCTCACTATTATTTGAAGTTAATGCTCAACTATTTTAATCCTAAAGTGACTACAAAAATTTCTTAATACCTATTTTTATCCAAAAGTAACCGATTGTGTTAGCTACTCGATTGTTTCATTTATTGTTTTGTTTTTGTATCCAACTATAATTTTTAAAGATAATATGAAGTGAGGAAACATCACTATTTACTTGGTATTGATTTGATATTCAAACAGGAAAATTCTGTATATAATGCCATAACCAGGATTTAATAGAAAAGAGATATTGTTTTTTTTCAGTTTGTGATTAAAATGTTTAGAAGGAGATATTTGATATACTTTTTATAATCATCTCAACCTATAGAAGGCCAGTTGAACTGATCCCTAAAGTTTTCTGCTCATCGATTCAATCTCCTGGATTGAGAATGTATAATATGTCCATTTTCTCTGAGATGGCTTCGCTGACAGTCGTGTTCCTAATACCGGTTTCCTTAACAAGCCTGAACAGTTGTCTGCTATTACCTATTGCCATTGCCTTTTCCATCTCTTGCTTTCGCTACCCACCACTGTTCACGATCATTGCGTAGGCTTCTTGTCAGCTTGCGCATAAGCTGACTCCGCACTTCGTTATGTTCAAAGTCAGATGGGATGAGTTTTCGAGCATCTATCAGCGCGGTAGATGCTGCTGAGATCCAGTGTTTCTCTCTAACTTGTGGTCTACCGTACTAGCAGATATCACTGCTGTTTCCTCACTATCTAACTACCTGTAAATCATAAACGGTGAGCGTTTCTGTAAACGACAAGTGAAAATCGGCAGATTAACGTCCGTAAAATAATGAAGAAAAAAGACAGGGTACTCCATAAATTATTGATAAGAATTATCTAAGATGATCAAATCACGGATTGAGTAATTTTGCTACTCATTTTTTTGTTGTCAGTATTGAAGTTATTCGGCTACAAAGAATTACAGCTACGCTGGAAATACCTTAAAAGGAACAAAATAATATGTCATCGATCCTAACGGTGTAAAAATGGCAGATAAAAAGAGCTATCGATCACGCCGATATTCTTAAAATTAAAAAAATTAGCAATTAGAGACAGTGAACTGCGTAGCTTACAATCACTGATAGATAGAGATTTGCATTTGCATGCAAGTTTTTAAAATTACTTGATTCAACTTTAACTAATGAATAACTACGTTAGCTATACAACAGTGATAGTTTACAATAAACCAGTGTATGACTTCGACTTTCATCACCCAATAATTACTGAATTTTGAAAACAACACCAGTTGATATTCGGCCGAGAGGTTTTTGACATGGAATACAATAATTTCGGAAAAAACAAATTATTCTCACAAGTTGACAATCGTCATGAAAAAAGGGAAGCGCTAGAAATCCATCATTTTAAATCTGAATTCTATGTGCAGTACAGACACATACAAGCAATTATTCTTCCATCGCCCTAGCAGTTAATTTTCATTATCGGTCATTTGATTTCAATACATCATTCGAATACTTTTAATCTTCCTAATTTTAATTTTGATCATTAGTTATCATCACCTTTACGTTTTAGAATTAACTTTTCACCCTTCTTACACTAGTTAAGTGGATAATTATCCTTCTCATATTTTATTTCATCCTATTATCAATGCCGAATAACATGACACTCATAATCAGCTGCAGTGCCGAAATAATATCTATTCTCTATCATCCTATGAATCCTGGTTTCACTGTTACTCTATATTTTTCATCTCACTAGCTAATTTATTCTCAATGAGCTATGTTACTCTTATTTAGCTTCTTGGTGTATTTAATATAGAATCGCTTTATTTGGATCACATCAAATTAGTTTCGTGTCTACCTGTATTTATACAAACATGAACTGACATACATTCTGGCTAGATCTTACGATGATGATGACTAACTGACTGTGATTTGAAAAATATCAACATAAACTATTTCAAAGCGGATGTTTCTGTAATTTTCTAAACAGTATAATTAATTGATTAATAAATAAAAACATACAACAGACTTACTATTAATGATCACTACACATATAATCGTTATAAGGAAAAATGTTCCTGGAACTAAAATAAATAAACAAGTAAATAAAAAATATGAAAGTTTTACATTATTGGATGACGTAACAAAAAGATAAAATAACTGATCAAAAAAATTGACGTCATTGAATCTTGAACTCACATAGCAACATTTCATTAGTTACTTTAACGAATTCATTGAAATATAAATTGGAAATTAATAATAGTTAAACGGAGCGACATACAAACTGTATGATATATATTTCAGCCTTATTAGTCATTTAATCGATCAAAAGTAAAATTGGAATAGTATTGACGTTGAATTATGTCACAAGATTGTTGCCAGTTCGAGAATATTGAAAAAAACAAGCACTTAACGGCTGTTTTGCCTTAATATAGCTAACAAAGTCGTTTTTCATCAACAAAATGAAATGACTGTTTCGTTATATCGCAAATCAATCAAATTTATACGAGAAATATAGGATTAGAACTCAGTAGTCCAAATTTCACGCGCTTGCCATGAGACCTCAAAGCCCTCGGGTTCGATGTGTTACAAGAAAATAGGAGTGTACTGATGAGGCATCCAATACTATGAAAGAATGACTGTCTAGTGTTCGCTGGTTTTCAGTGCTTCCTCAGCTGATATCAGTCTGTGACATAGACTCGTTTCAAAATAAAAAGTCTAAACAAAGCTATTAATTTCTTTTAATAACAGTATTTTTTGGTATATTTCGTTGACTCAGTGATTCACTACCATGCATATCTTAATGGAATTGTGACGAAGTATGAATCTTCCAAAAACTTTGCTATTGCATCTTTGAATTCAAATAGAAATGTACAGTGAATTGAGATTTTGTTATGTAAACTGATTCTTTGACGTTACAAACAAGGTGTTCTTTTTCAATAATTCTGAGGATCAAGAAAGTTTGAAGTTTTGGGTTCAAGGGATATTGGTAATTATTACTCGTTGTCTACTCAACTTATTCGAGGTGATTCATTTGTAAGCATCATATTAGTTCACTTGATCAAATAATTTATGCATACTAAGTTTATTAACATATTCGACATCCACAAAGGATTGTATCAGTCAACGATGTGAACTACTTTGAAATATACTTTTCTGTAATAATGATATTTACTTTATGTATCGAGGAATTTATTTTTATAGATCATACAGTTGTCATCAATCAAATAATCAACGTTTTAGCTTTAACTATTCATGAAACCCACTTGATATGATGAAAATTGTTTCTTGATATTGACTATACTATTTGTAACATATTGTACTTCACATTCATTTGGAAGTGCTCAAATTCAGACTGATTACACTGATTTGTCGTTTACAACTAAATATCCACCTAGCTTTGCATACACATAGCTTCGATACATGTACTACATAAATCCATATACAGGATGATACATATCTTCTTTATTTTAAATACACTGTTACTTTTGATCACATAAAGTATTTCATTCCTATGAAGTAAATTGATTTGTAACAAAGTTTATTCGATTGTGTTTCAGGTCATGTCAACAGTTACATTTGACTGAACAACCAAACTAAGTGATAGCTTATACAACAGAGCAACTTGTAGACATTAGTTTTATCACCGTGTGTTTTGGATAAAACAGAAAAATAACTTCGAAAAGTAAAGCGTATTCTTTCTAATACAATAAACCACTCTAACAGGTTAAGCAATGTTAAACTATTACTGCAACATTGATTTGTATAGGATTGCGTATGATACCAATTTTGTTTGATTTAAACAGAATCATCACTATTTTTCAAAAAAATTTTTAAAGTACAAAGTATTTGTTGTGTATACTACATTTTTGTTCTGATGATATATCATAAAAACTTGTGGAATGATCATGAAAAGTGCAAATCCATTGGCTTTTACTTAAACTTTGTTTCCAGTAACTAAATCTACTAAAACGACGAGGTCTTATTATTCTCTTATTATTTATGTATCTGGAACAAATATGAATAGACTAACGATTAGTCCTGAAATATTGACTAGTCACAACAGCTTTATTCGAAATTTCATATGTATAATGAACCAATACTATGACTATTCAGTAAAAACGAATTTGATGAAAAGGCTTACGGATGTTTTAGTAACCGTGGAATATCGGTGGATAGATTCATACACTATGTAAAACAATTAAAGTTTGTAGTGATCATCCAACTATGTCGATTTTATGACTCAAATTTGTTGCCAAAAAAGATAACCTCACTTTTGAAAATTCTATTTATTGTTCATAGGTATAAAAATTAATCTTCCAAGCCATGTTAGAATTATTTCGGTCAATTGTCACATCTGTTTACGAATTAATTTCAACCTGAACCGGAAGATCTTACTGGGAAACAAGTGTGAGGAACTGTGGTTAAGTCTGTATCTTTAGGCTATATGGCATCTTGATGGTAACAAAAACATGTTTTCTGTGAAACTAGGAGCGGAAAAAGTTAAGAAAACAACTTTTAATGCTTCACCTGCTGAAAATTTTAGTGTAATATAAAACACAATGATTACCACCAGACATGTATCATTGATATAAGAACAACCTAATATTTACCAACAGTTAAACAAAATCTCTAAACTAACTCAGTAAAAAGAAAACACACTCTTTCAGGCAGTTTCCTTCACTAAAATGTCGAATAATTAGTTCTAGATAGAAGTTACCTACATGAACTTATGATAATTAAAAGCCAAATGTGATTGAAGTTAATCTACCTTATCTCATTATAATCAAACATGATAAAACCACTTTCATTTGCCTACACTAATTTATAAAGAGTACATTTCGAAGTATTCCATCAATGTATTAAGTACGATTACAAAGTCTTTAGCATGTGGTCGGATGACAAATTCGTTTCCCAGATACTTTTGACTATATGACATGTCCAAGTTGTTGGATGAGTAAACAAATGGGATCAGTAATTGTTAAATGATACCAAAACGCAAAATAAAAAAGGTTAAGATTATTGAATAAAACGCTTACTGCTCGAAGTATCAATCAAGGCCAAAATAATAGTTAGTACAAGGACAATAATCTCGACGATCATACATCCCAAAAATCGAAATCGTGGAGTTGAGGTCCTACATAAAGAGACTAAATGAGTAATATATATCACCATTTAAATAATTAGTAACTCATCATATTAGTTATTTAAGTAACTCGTGGATTTTTCGAAATCTCTGTTGAAAATTTTTAAGGTCGAAATAAAATATGACTGAATAACTTCCATGTCGCTAACTAAAAAACCTTAGAAGTCATAAAATCTGTTCAAAAACGTTTTGATGCATTACAGTGGATTTAAGCTTGTTACAAGGAAATTCATTTTAATTTTGATTGACATTAAAAAGGTACTGCCATAAATTTAGTTGACTTGAGCTATCTTGCCTCAAAACGTAAACCGCTTTCGACTTAAAACGTAACCTGAATACAAAAGTTGCCCAAAACCACACCTTGATCTAAGACTTTTCGTTACCACACTTTTTAAATATCAGAGGGTTAGGCAGACAACTCGATGCAAAACCAGCAGGAAAAGAAAAGAGAATAAATCAATTAACAGTCAGCCGACCAGTCAGTTGGCCACGAACAACTTAGTAATGATCTAGAACAAGCAAATATGTCAAGTAAGCGATTTCACCCACAATTTATTTTTAAGTCGATCTTAAATACATGAAAGATTATAAGCTTATGAAAAGGAAACATGGGTGAAGATAAGAGACATTCATTGTTTTCGACTGTTCCTATACCCTTACATGGATCATCTCAACTATTTGCAAAAACGTAAAACAATAGGATAGAAAAAGAAACTCGTACTTTGGGTTTTTTGAGAAATCCTTATATAAATACGATTGATATAAGATATTGGAAATGATAAGCAAGAGTAGCATTTGTCATTCGGTAAAGTATAAATAACTCAAATAAATTATGTACTAGTATATACAGAAAATCAATAAGCTTGTTCTTTTTTCCTTCTTAATAAGCGCTTGTAAAGCGGAAGATTAATGAACATATATTGTATCTTAGTTTATAACATTTCACCGGAAACGAACAAAATTATGAGTCAAGTAATTTCACTTACGTAGAGCCACTTTGATAAAATGTATTCCATGCAGCAAAACACAAACTAGGGAACTGAGCAGCAAAACCAAAATAGCTTAGAAGATTGATACGATAGTCCGCATTATAGCTCGTTGTTGTATTTAACTTGTAATCAAAATACTAGTATACACTGTTGGTTATTAAACATACTATACCTCATAGCCATTAATAAAGACGTTCCATGGTATCAAAAATCCGATACCGTGCAAAAACAGGAAAACGTAAGCCAAATTGTACCTTAAAGTAAGAGGGAACCGCAGAATTTTACCTATCAACAGGTGGTGACCGGACTTTTTCCTCCATATTTAATCAGGTTCTCGAGTTTCCAAAGCTATACATCAAAGCGTTTAGCAAAAAAAGAAAGTTACTGATGGAAATTGCCTTAAGGAAAAAGTCAAACAATACGAAACTGATGGTCTGTGAAATATGTTAAAACGTTAAATGAGCTGTATAAAGTGGTGAAACAGCTAAAATTTATCACTGACGATCTTTCAACAAAATAACACAAAGAAACATATCACCTCACCTAATTTCGTAAACAGTAAAATTTAATTAAATATAAGAATAACTGGAAACGATGATAAATTATTTCAAATCCTCGTGAGAATTACGTGTAGCACTGATGAACGACGAATAACCTCTCAGTAGTTAAAAATCCGTAAGTCACGTTATGGAAATGTAGGTCTCATCTTAATTTCCATGATTTAAAAAACTTCGAATAAAGACGTTTATTACATTTATAAAGAGACTGGTTAACCGACCAAACTGAAAGATAAAAATCGAACTTGTAGTGGCATTGGACAATAACCACACAATCCTCAAAGCTGAACACGAGACTATTCGGAAAATAGATATTCAGTATTTAACGCGGAGAAATACCTAACGATGGAGAAGGCGAGAACAATGGATTGAACTAATTGGAGTTGATCGAATGGCATGGCTCGACCATGCAGGCGTGGTCCCTGCTGAATGTTACCTTATATCTTTTATTCATATTAAATATATTGTTCTATCTCTAGCCTGAGTTTGTTCTACATCATGTATTGGTGATTGTTACGATACGATGAGTTTATGTAGACGATGGTATGACTTCTACGTAAGATCTTATAGATTAGGCACTTATATCATGGCAATTATACAATTTTAAGATTAGGTCTATTATTAGCGCAGTACTAATATCATAGTAGACCATAGTTCTACAAACTCAACAAGAAATTGTTTAACAAGCACATGCACTAGTTTTAGAGAGTTACAACAAGAAATGTTAACGTCTGCCGTATTTATTGAAGTATCTTTGTGACTGCTGATAAAATAGCAAAATTCCGTTTACCAAACTAAATTTGTAAGACAATGTGGGCAATGATGTGAGGTATTCAATATGTTCGCCTCTTGCTTCTAATTCACAAAATAAAATTTCTTATGACCCAAATGATAATATACCTTACAGACAATTTAGGTTACAACAACCACAAATAGACACAATCTGAAGATTGCATAACTCAAAATAGTAGACGGCTGGGATATTAAGCATGTGACAATAAAGTGTGAGAAAATCACAAACGATTGAAACATATTCAAGAATATTGGATCTATCCGAATTTGTGGTTTTCGCCCGTTACAAGAAACAGAATATTTCTATCAATATACAATTAGATATTACTTGAAAGAAACTAAAGTCGCATGCCACTCTAGACATCATAGGAATGGATTTTGAAAGGCAAGACATTTTTACAGAAGATAGTGTGATACCTTTGAACAGATCACAAAAAGTACCAATAAAATATTAAAGAAAACCATGCACAAAGTTACTCGAAAATTCAATATTTTGCCGTTTGTGAAGGTCACAGTATGAAGGCCTTGGTGTATATTATCAAACCTTAGATTTGTCAAGTGTATGTCGGATGCTCATTGTTTCTTAGGATATGCAAGCTGATAATAAAGGAGGGTTCTTGATCACGAAGAAGTATTGTTTTCGTTTTAAGCGAGCTCCAATTTAGCATTTGTTCACTAAGAATTATCAGTTTATAACTTCTATTGGCTCTTTTCTAGTAGACTTTAAAGAGTGTCTGGCATTTCCATTGGTCAGTCATTTAAAGATGAGTACACTATTTTTTTCTAAGCAGGTTACAGGGGTTGATTGCATTGTGGGAACAAGTTTTATCACAACCGGACGAAAACTTTTAAGTTTCATTGTGCATGGTAAATTACGTGATTACCAAATTAGGTCAGTGGCCATACTCTTTACATTTTATGAGATTTACAACTCGAGATCAGTGTCTAAATTAAAGCTTACTAGTTTTGATCTCAATAAGGCTATATACATCAGAGTAATTATATTTGGACCCAGCTTAGCAAATACCATTTAGACGCCTAAGTGTTCTAAAAAACTGAAGAGAAAAACTACTGACGCTTCGCAAATTTTTCAATCGTCCACTGTCTATTTCGATACACCCAGGCACACTGAAAGACATTACCATGATCGTACTACTATTATTTCGACGATCAAATGGATTGCCCTCCTCATTATCATCATCTACTTCTCACTATATTTTGAAGTTATTGGTGTAATGTAAAAGTAGGTACCTGATGTCATTCTGAACTTCATTGACCTGAATCATAAGCGGAAAAGACGTTAGCTTGGAGTTCCGCAGTACCTGCACTAAGTGCCAGTTAAGGATGGAAAAATTCAATAATAGGTCTATTCTCAATATTCGACCAACCCGAAAGTCTCTAATAAACTTAAACACATGCCCCGAGATTACTTATTCTCCATTACCAGGCTACTCAGTTATATGAGCTATTTGTTAAGTCATAAGTTGCACAGAAACCAATAGTAGGTCTTCAGACTATTCCTTACTAAACTTTTGCCTTAGTACTAGCAAGAATAACTAGCCTATAGTTCGTTGAAAATTCTCTCGATGCTGTCTAACAAAGTAAGATGACTTTCAAATAACGTGCTTGTGAGTACGGACTTCGTTTTGAACAGGAAAATATTTCGAATGGTTGAGCCTGTTGGGATCTCTAATGTGGTGGAAAATCGGTACGTCAGACATTTGGTTCCAGCTTATGCTTTCTCATCCGAACACTAGTAGATGATACGAAAATCCTAGGCAACTGAGTTTTATGGTCGTATCATCAGCACGCATATACTTCTGACTGTGCAGTCTAGGCAAGTGTAGTTCTTTAATGCTTGTAAGAGTTCAACTGAATGTGTCACTCACAGTGTTATAAACGATAGCCTCAATTACAAGACGTTTTCTCTTCAAGTTGGTCAACTTCGGACAATCCTTCCTTCCTGCAGATCACCAGATTCAGTTGCTGATAGCACCTTTTATTTGGAAGATTTTTTAGGTGTTTTAGATTAAACTTCCCAACTTCATCTTTCAGTTTGTGGTTGATCTATCTAAAAGGCATAGATTTGTGTGGCTGATGTGTTGTTGTTCCGAATCCTTGTCCTCATTGCTTATAGAAGTTCAGAGTCCAGCAAAATGAGCTTCTCGCTTTCCTCAACATATTTGTTGAACAACGCATTAGTTTAGTCGTCAGCGAATTCCAACATTTGTCAATTCTTAACGAGTAGAATTTGTGTCTACAGTCCGTTCTGCTATGTTGTCGAAGTCTGAAAATTGACGATATTCAGGAAATCTTACTAGAAATGAGGAGTGCTTGGTACATTCTGGACAGGAATACTTTATTTATAAAATGTCAGGGCCGGACATACAGACGCTACTACTCAAAATATACACATTATCTTTAGAGACAGGTACATATCCGGAAACCTGGAAGGTAACGTATGTTCTTTCCAAACACAAATCCGGACCAAGAAACCTGGTTGAAAACTACAGACCTATAAATATCACTCCAGTCATATCACGCATAATGGAAAAAGTGATACAAAATCAACTACCTGATCACCTACTCAAGGAAGGTCTAGTAGACCCGTCACAACACGGCTTCATTAGAACAAGGTCGTGCAGTACATGCTTGATAGACTTCTTTAACGAGGTTACTCGTATACGTGACTAGAAGAAACTAGTTATTATACTATACTTCGATATTAAGAAAGCCTTTGATAAAGTACCTCATAATCTTCTAATCAACAGACTGAAGTCAGTTAGAATTACAAATCCCCTTTTGCAAAGGATCAAGTCTTTTCTTACGAACAGATATCAAATAACCAAGATTAACTCTAATACATCTACACCTCGACCAATAACCAGTGGTGTTGTACAGGGTAGTGTCTTGGGTCCATTGCTCTTTATAATCTACATCAACAATATATGCAAGTGTTTTAGCACAGATAAGACCTACCTCTATGCCGATGACTTAAAAGTCATCTATAAAACTGACATTTGCGATTTACGCAGTACTATGCAAGCAATCCAACATGAACTCAACATGGTAGATGACTGGTGCAAACGCTGGAGGTTAGAGCTCAACATAGAGAAATGCGGCTGGTTATGTATAGGAGACACGTCTCTTAAAATGAAACTAACACTTAGCAATCACACACTGCCCAGACTGGCATCAGTAACTGACCTAGGGGTACATTACTCACACAGTCTTAATTTCTCTGAACACATCTCAGCCAAAGCATTGGCTTCATTCTCCGTAATTTCTATCACAATGAATCTAAAATCCTTCTTTACAAAGTCTGTGTAAGACCTATCGTTGAATACTGTTCGTTCTTATTTTCCAACCTACGCCTATCTGATATACTAAAGGTGAAAGGAATACAACGAGACTTCACCCGCAAAGTACTTAAGACTGACTCGGTCATTGACTACAGTTCTCGATGCCAAATCTTAGGAATAGCACTTCTTTGAGAGAGAAGGCTTAGGTCTAATTTGATTCTCTACTTCAAACTACTCAAAAAACTTACTTACTCAACATGTAAGATAATTCTTGCCCGAGATTCACATGAATACGGACTTCTAAACTAAGTATCTACGGTCAAAGTTGAGAAATACAGATCAAAAACTCGGGAAAACTTCTTCCTCACCAAGTATGCAATAATATGGAACAGTCTTCCCTCCGAGACTCGCATGGCAGATGAACTACATACGTTTGTGAAACTGCTTGATCAAGCCCTCACTTGCGCTGATCTTGCACGTACGAACACATCTGCGCCCCACTCAGACATCATAGGCTCTCTCCATGTCTAGACCAAAATGGACTTCAAGTTTAGTTTGCCTTATTTTTCCTACTTTGCAGTTGTATTAATTACTTTTTCCACCCTATTTCTTCACTTGAAGTAGACAGGTAATTCACTGGACCTATCATTACTGTTAAACTAAACTCGGCCGCTAAGGGACACTCACTACCACCCTAAAAAGTCAAGAGGACCGCACAATCGGCTGTCTACTACCAGTGGTCTTGCATCTATGGAACCTGTTACCAATCAACTGGTTAAGACAACAGAAAATAACATCAGCACCAAGTTACTGTGAGTTCCTTTCTGTTTATCCTGTATTAACTTTTTACTCTTCTGTACACTATGTTGACTAGCAATTAATATTATTTCTCCACTCGTTCCCTTATCCACGACTCATATACTTCTATACTTTTTCCGCCTGCTTAAATAAACAACTATCCTACAATATACCCTTCTTAACGCTTATACTCTGATTGGCAAACTATACTTTATACTACAGTCAAGAGAGGCACTGCATCGATGCTTTACCCACAGTCCATAGCTTGTAACTGCCTGATAAGCTTGTGAAATGGTACTTATAGAAATAGTGCTTTCCAGCAGGTTGTGAAACAGAGGATTGTGTTAGGTATGACGTATATACGAAAATAAGCCTAAATGAGCCTGACATCACAAAAGGAGGGAGGGTGGAGTTACTGACCAGCAAGCATTGATGGTGAGGGTGATAACTTCAATCCACTCATGTTTGTGGGAACAGAACATTTTGTATGTATCAGGCTCTTTATAATTGAGAATAAGACAGTCAATCTGTGATATAGATTGTCTTCCTACGCTCACCACTCAGACTCATGTTTCCAATATTATGCTGGATTAGCTATTCTACTAAGACAACCTATAACATGCTAACTCGAACTTTTACACTAATATTATGTGGCTGGCATCGGACAAACAAAAATAAGAAAAAAACTTAGACAACAAAAGATATAGTCATTAGTATTCTTAACACTTCACCCTCTATATATACACCCTGCTAATAAACCGCTTCCCTTGTACCAACCTTGACTTCCCTTCCTTCATGTGAGCTTACTCCAACTTGTTAAACATCACAACTCACTGTTCTTTATTAGTACATTCTCTAATATGGAGCCTCTGACTTCACTTCACTCTAACAAGACATAATATGAATTTATTCTAATTTATTATACCTCTGTCCGTTCTACTACACAATGTTAAGCAACCTTTGGCGTTCATATCCAAGTGTCTTGCTGATCTTCTGTTTCTCTTTTTTTCTTCTTCAGAATCTTGCTCTGAGAGCACAGCTATGAAACTTCTGACGTTTGGAGCAAACTTGACGTACGCGCCCTCTCAAGGTCATAGTTTACAGCATGCGCTCTACGATTTCACTTCATGACAACTATAAACTTAATAAGTTGGGAAGCATTTTGCGAACCAACAAATGTTGTTATTTATAGATCATGCCTGTAAAAACGGTGTGTACCTGCACATGCAGAAATTTATTATTATTATTATTATTATTCAGAAATATCCAACGTCCGTTACATGGAAACGACTGTCGTCTCTTTGCAGCTGAATGAACTTACCGAATTCGTCCCGATTCACACCGGACTTTAAACCAAAAGAATTATGTGTACCAACTAATTATCTATGAGCAATCGTTTAAAAGGTGACCATTTGACCGAACTTCTTATCTCCACCAAGTTCACAGTGTTTGCACCTCTTGATTCTCAGTTGCTCCTTACATTTGCATTAAGAGCACTTTAACCGCAGCACAATCTTGTTCGTAGTTTTAGTTTTTTGCCTGAGAATTGGTTTTTTCTGACCGCCATAAGTATTAGCATGTGCAAAAACACATTTGTGTGCATCTAAGGCCTAAACAGCATGTTTTTTCCTAGAAAAAACATAGACAACAGTGCTAATCACAGCATTCGCTCTATACTGAAGTATTATGTGACGTATTATGGCGAAGCTGTCATATATGAACTACTGAGTGATTGCTTTACCCGCGATGGAAATACGTTCCGTGCCCCGGATATTAACATTACGTTCGCCAGCAAAAGTTGTCTAAGTATTGTTAACTTTGATCCCAGTAGTATATACGTCGCCATCAAAACCCGTATATTGATTGCGAGTTCTGCTTCCGATGACATCCCATCGATTTTTTATAAAATGGCTTGACCGGAAATACAAATATTATTACTCAAGATATTCACACTTTCTTTTGAGGTAGGTACACATCCCGAAAGCTGGAAGGTAACGTATGTTGTTCCCAAACACAAGTCAGAAGCGAAAAACCTGAGTGAAAGCTACAAACCTATAGATATCACCCCATTTACATCACATACGTTGGACAAAGTGATACAAGACCAACTATCTGATCATCTAATTCATGAAGATCCGATAGACTCGTCACGACGCAGCTTCATTAGAACAATGTCCTGCAGTATATGCCTGATAGAGGTCTTTAATGAGGTTATTTGCATACGTAACCTAAAGAAACTAGCTGTTATACTGTATTTCGACGGTGAGAATGCTTTTGATAAGGTACCTCATAACTTTCTAATCAACAAATTTCAGTCAGTTGGGATTACAAACTCACTATTTAAATGAATTAGGTGTGTTTTCTTTCCTATTCGTTCTATTCGATTTGTTGTATTCTTATCTAGAGGTTCAAATCACATTTAACTGTAACAAAAATAGCTAATCTGACTTTATTCTACTAATTTATCAGTTACAATTCCTTGTTTTCACTTACTGTTGACTCAGAATCTACGAACTGAATTCGGGTAGCTGGTGTATTTTTTCGACTGACCGACCTTTATTTACATTATCTTTTCCTATACCTCTTAATGTATATAAGGTCGATAAACTTTGATTTCTGTGATCACTATTTTAACAAAGAAGATATCAAGACACCAGGTTAACGTGAATTAACTTTAACAGTAAGGTTTTTACGCACAAACAAAAAAAGACAAGCAACTTTTCAATTCTCCGTGTTTCTATTATTGGTCGATACTACTGACTTTATGAAGTTTTAATGTTTTTTACACCTCATAAGGCTAACTACAGCACTTCGTTAAAAGCAGATACTGTTTGTGATTTGTAAAGCACATACGACTAGGACCATGTTGTCGGTCGTAATTTCAAGTTTATGACAATGAAATCTGCTTAGTCTTGCTAATCGTGATTTCTAGTCCGTGTTTGTGTTCCGCAACAAATTATAATATCAGTGGCGTCTCTGTGCTTTTGGTCTTTCATTATTTACTAAAACTGTCGGAGGCTTAAGGGTGTTAGGTGCAGCAAACACTGGTTTAATCGCGTCTGTATGGTAGGGTTTGAATTTAGGATTTCCTTTATCGAACTGTCTATGTTACCAGATCAGTGAGTATACTACAACACTGTAGACTTACAGTGAGGTGACTGCCAAAGTAACTTGATCTTGCTTCCAAGTGAGATCATCATGTTTACTGACTCGCCATGTCGTGTTAGGCAGTAGGTTGTTTAGCTAGAATGTTTGAATAATAACTGTAGGTTCAAAATAGAATGATAAATTCACTATGAAAAGGATGGATTTGCAGAGTTAATACGTCTGCATGTCTGAGCCATACTCAACAGCTATCCGAACGTTGGTTTTGATAAACCTATACTATTTCCCCTCCATCAGTCAAGATTCAGTGTAAAAATGTCACGGATATAAACTGCTTGACAACACATTTACCTTAGAAAATTTCTATATAATGATCACAAAGCCAGTTTAACAAGAATTTAGGAATGAGGAGACGGAAAGACATTTAGAAAATGGTCGATTAGTCCAGGTTTATGTTATTTAAGTTGACTAGTTTTCGAAAGAGTAGCATAGCGTACCTAAAGATAATTTGGTGAAAATCTTCGTCCGATCGCCTTCATCTAAATGTGTATCCAGTTAGAATACATAAGGTCAGCACCTAAATTGAAGACTTTCAGAACGATTCACGAAGGAGGTTTATCTATCACTACAGTTTAAATCTCAACGTACTCAGATTAAAGGATGATTTTTGGTGATCGTTTAGTATCATTTCATTGTCAGTACAATAAGAGCCAGATGAGGTGAAGAAAACAGATTGATAAAAAGCTAGAAATATGTGATCATAATCAATGATGAATAATCATACCATGAGAAGGATATATGCAATAAGAAACTTTTAGAGTTCCCTAGTTTCTCACTGGGCCTGATGTATTCTGTATGGCTCTCAGAAGAAAGTGTGATCTATAATCACTTGGTACTTCAAACGACTGATTAAAAGGACATCTTCAGTACGAAGGAATGTGACTTGTAGATGTTGCTCAATTTAGTGTAAGCATAAATTTAATATTATACTGTTAACAGTATTGCATATAATAATATAATACTGATTAGGTATCACATCACATTTAGTTGATTGGCTCACTTCATACCTCAAAAATTGACATTTTAAGATCAGAGTCGAGTTCTCTTTCTTTCAGACTATGGAATGTCCTAGTGTGGTCCCCTAGGGTTAAGTATTAGGACCTCTTCTTTTCGTGATTTATATAAATGTTTTTCCTTAACAGGTGTCTTTTGGCTTATTACTTTTTGCTGGTGATGAGAAACTTTGAAGGGTGATACTCAACCAAGAGAATATATTAGCACTTCAGGAAGATTTGACTCGTCTACAAAGTTGGGCAGATGACAACGGACTTACCTTTAACACTTCAAAATGTGTAAAGTAGTCTATCTGCGTTATGTTGTAGACTACAGGTACAACCCACGAGACTCCCCTAGAGAAATGTCCCAAATTTAAAGATTTAGGAGTCCTTGTGCCCTACGATTTGAAGTCTTACGCCAACTGTGACAAAAATGCCTTTCGAGCAAACCTTGCACTGATAAAATTGAAGCGCATTCTTGACCAGTTTGACGGAAGAGCTGTCAACACGATCTTCAACAGTTTCATTTGTCCCCATCTAGGGTACGGAAACATAGTATTTCCTTCCTCGATCCAAGAGGAAAAGAACACTCTGGAATGAATCCAACGGCGAGCCACGAAATCAGTTCGGGGACTTAAATTTAAACCTTATGAAGAGGGCCTCCAATCACTAAACCTTTGCCCGTTAGAGTACAGCTGTCTTAGGGGTGACCGTCCAACGGCTTGTAGCATCCACAGCACTTCTGGACATCCCTTTAATCACTTACATAGCTTCAGCTCCAGCATAAACCTAAGGGGTAATACCCAGAAACTGGAGACACAACTCAGCAGAACAGATTGTAGACACAACTTCTACCCCTTAAGAGTAGTGAAATACTGGAATTCATTGCCGATTGAGCTAGTCCAAGCGACTTCCCATGAGTCCTTTAACAGGAAACGTGACATATTCCAATGGGCTAAGAATAGTATCCTACTATGAGTCGCCAATTTATTTTTCCAGTTTTATTGTTAATATATCTAGGTTCCTGCCTGAAGGTATTGGTAAATCACAGCTACCAGACACGGAAGCTCGTTGAGCGAAAGCATCTTCTAATCCGTCCACAACCATTTGAACTACTAATTTAGTCAGAGAAATTGCTCATAATGTAGGACAATCACTGCAAATATATGATTGAGTGTTTTTGGGAACTTTCGTTTGATTTCAAACTTCTTATTAAGAATGTCAAAGAGAAAGTGGCCTGTCGTTCCTTATGCAGCCAGATGTGATATGCTGTATCCAGCTTTGACTATATTAATACGACATAGTGAATAACTGGAACATTACAAAACGCGATAATAAATTCGAACTAACAGTTGCATTTAAATTCTCCATGACCGTCATATATTCTCATGTGAGCAATCTTCTTAAATTGTTTCAATCAGTCAAGAAGATAGTTGATTTCAAGTTGCTTTTTCAAGTTAGCGTCGTTGTGATATGCTCAAGGTATTTCATAATGTTTACAAGCAGTATATTGAAGGAAAAAACGTTCTTTTTATTCAAATGGCTTTCATTGAAGGTGTTGGGACAGTTATTTAATCCTAAGTTTTTGTATCCAATTATTGAATGTGATGAAGTAATCAATTATTTATTTCATCATATGATAAAATATTATGGTAGGGAATATGGGAAATCAACCAATCTTTTGTTGCTGGACTGTCATCTTTTGAGCTTTACGCGGGTGTTCATCGAATTATTAATCTAAAAGTGCCTTCACAATGTAAGTTTGTTTTGTCTGGGCTGAGTTATTACACCTTATAATATATTTTCGAACATTTCATCGTTTTAAGATTATGTACAGACATTGACAGTTAGCTTTTGCTGCACTTTGGTGGAACCTTAAAGTGAGTTCGGTTTAATAACGCTGATCGGTTATATATTGTTGAAATGACGTAGAGTATTAATTTTGCCCGTCACATAATTTCTGTCTTTGAACATTCTGACAACCGCATTTTATCCGTAAAGAACAGATTTCACTAAGGCCAAAGTAATAAACAGGTCATTGAGTTTAAGGCTTTTTTGGGCTGAAGACGTGTCTTAACATACAGAGTTTTCTCAAATTTATTATTCAGTGTATTATGTACCTGACGAAATCAAACCAAAGTATTCTAATTTTCATAGTTCTTGTGCAAGCTTCAATTTCAAGTTCCTGCTTGGATTTATCACGAAGAATAGACGAATTTATAAGTTTTGGAGGACGTTGATCACAAGCTACGGATAATTATGAATAATTTAACCTAAATACTCTAAATGCTTTTATTGTAATAAAAGCATTTAGAGTATACATATGATAACAATCTAAAAACTCACAGTCACTTGGCTGAAAAACGTTCGGAAGAAAACGTGTATGTAAAATTGTTAAGTATGTCTTTGACCTAGTGAACTTTCCATACTCTTTCGCGGCAAGTTTTATGAAGACTTAATTAAATAAATACTTGAAAGATGGGAAAGAGCATACTTTAATTTTCATTCACACCTGAATCGAGATAGGGTATTCTTTTGAAAGTCGAAAAATGGAAATTTTGGGCATAATTCATCAATCATATAGCTGGAAAGCGTCTTGCCACCATAGCTGATGTTAGTTTGGGATAAGAACCCAAACTCTGATTTCCTACCCTAACTCCAAAACTTAACTTCTTATCCTTATTCTTCACACAAATTTATCATAATCATTTAACCATAGGAAGTTATTGAATTCGCAGGAAGTCACTCTGGTATCTCTCAAAGGTTGTCATTAATTTTAATTTTCGTCCCATTTTTTATATGAACTTGAAATAACTTTGAATGCTTGTTTAAACTTTGTGCCGGCGATTCGAATTTTCATCTAGTCTAACACGTCGAAAAATTCATATTGTATCGTTTGTTTGAAACTTTCCATTGATGTTGGGAATTGCAATTGTTTAGTCACATATTGACATGTGTGCATACTGTGCGTTGCACCTCAATATTTTCTTAAGTCACAAACAGCTAAATGGATAATGCGATGACGTCTGGACCAAACTGTAATGGGTTCTAGCCCTGAAGTGAACATTAACTCTGTGTAAATCCGGCTGACTAGTCTCAAGTGGGACGAAACTTGTGTCCTGGATTTCATCACTAGCCACCATCCATCTGTGCCTATAATTTCGAAACATTAGTTTTTTCAGACAAGATAATAACAAGGGACTAGAATGATGAAGAACTGAAATTATGAACTATTGTACCAAATCATTCATCATCTCAATGAGGTTTATTCATGTGACTAGTTTCATTTATGAGTTCATTTAAGCCGAAACCACAAATGAAGCAAGATGTTACGAATTCGCTACATTTCTTGGTTCCTCATCTGCCTCTTATGATCATGAACCTGTTAAACTGTAGTATTGAGGTACGGTACAATGTAAACATAGTGGACACTGATAACGGAAAAGTCTATAATAAAAAAGATTATGAACAATAACCATATATATATATATATATATATGCATGAGTAAGCGAAAAGCCATTTGAAAATAATATTCAAAAAAACTTACTAGGAGTGAGCCATCTTATCAGTTTTTCAAAATAATCAGTGGAAAAGAATCTCAGCGTCTCTTTGGTTTGCCGAAGAAGTAGCAAGTAACGAACTCCAACCTGATTTGTGTGTTTAGGGAGAGAGATAGTAATCAACTTATCTTTATCTCGACAAACGTATAACTTTGACTGATATCACCTGTAATTATTACGTTTGTTATTATTACGACTATTACAGCTATTATTATTTCTTTTGTTATGTGATCTTCGCCAAACTGGTTTTTATTTCGTGCTCACCAAAAACATCCCTTTGTTCATATTTGTTTTTATTTACTAAATTATCTAAAGTTTTGTAAACCTCTTTGAGTTATGTCTAGTTGTTACGTTACTCTCCAATATCTAACTCGAATCCATTACTACTTCATGACTTCACGATTTCTGTATCTATTTTAAAGTGATTAAGATCCCATGTAAACTCTTCAAGACTTCCACAATTATCACACAATAGGTACCATATGTTTTCGAACTTCATTTAGTCACTGCATCACCCCTCTTTGTTTCTTGACTTATATTTTCAAATGGCATCTCGCTTATTCATCCATATATATATATATATATATAGTTATCATTCATAATCTTTGTTATTATAGACTTTTCCATTATCAGTGTCCACTATTTCACACTATGCTGTACCTCAGTATTACAATTTAACAGGTCTATGATCATAACAAGCAGATGGGGAACCAAGAAATGTAGTGAATTCTTATCATCCTGCTTCAATCGTGGTTTCGGCTTTATTTGAGGTTCAACAAGCACCTACTGCTTTGAAAATATAACCAAAAGAAAAGAAAAGAATGAAACTACTGCGGTTTTTTTCAGATGAACTTAAAAAGCTCAAGTGGTATCATTACAGTAGAAGTGAATGAATGTTGAAAACGGTATTATAACTTTCAATGACATCCAACTCCCTGTGGGATCAAGATGTGTTATAAATTGATAAATAAAGTCATTGGCTGTTCTCTAGATTTGAACGAATCTTGCTTATCTGGTTACTGATTGAATTCGACTACTTCACATCAAGTAATATGCACAGTGTTGTCAAGTCACTGAAGTAACGGCTGTATCTAAGTGCCAAGAACATAACAATAACTATTATCAGATATTGATATATTTTACTCGGTAAGGCGTACGACAAACCTTATAATAGGAGACTACTAAATTTCTAACTTTATAGTTAATAATTTAATCATCTGAATGTCCTAAAAATAATAAATGGGGCGATTTGTTTACTTAAATGACTAGATATAATCAAACAATATATTGCTTTTCATTGATATATTTAATTAATGCATCACTTGTCAATGGTTTACGTTGGTATTTCAGTTACATTCATTGACTATCTTCCTCTAAATTTCTGGCAAAATGCCATTTATTACTTTTCATCCTACAATCTTACTCATTACATACAAACTATATTCTTTATAATTACATTTCCATTTTCACTGATTTCACCGTTTTTATTTTTTGTTAATTTTTTGCGATGATCGATATATACTCGTGTCAGGGGACTCATTAAATTTCAATATTTAGTCACATGAAGGGTCAATAAGTGAACAAGATCCCTAAATTAAACTGACATGGCTGTGAATAATAAACATTACACGATGTTATGTTCCGATAAGCATAATGAATGGCAATTTTAGGGATCCATTTGCGGACCAATACTATGCGTGTATTTTTATCTTAGAATTGTTAATTAACTAAACTATTCATATTTATGTCTCTTATCATAAGCTTTATTTTAATCTATGAACTGTTATTATGCTATTTTCCATTCTTGAATTATTCCCTGTCTAATAATCACTACCTCCCACATTCACAGCCACATTTGGCCAAATCTTGTACAGATGTTGTTTCCTATTTTATGATACGATGTGGTCTGTTTGATTGGTATATAAACCCCGTATGCTTGAAATAAATGATTCATATCACAGAGGCTCGGATTGGTGTTCTGGACTTAAGCGGCTGGGCTAGGCGGAAAGCAGGACCAATAAAGACTCTAGACTGCTTGTACGGGTTTTATACGTCATTGGTCTGGTCGATAATTCACTGCTCTCTAATTGACTGTATCGTTACGTTATACATTAACAGGGCACACAGGCCACAAGTTACAACACATGGTCTGCTGCACTATTGATTTAGTTGCACTATTTGCGTTCCGATAAAGCTTGCAATTGCGTCTTAACTTTATGGCCACTTTAAAGACGTGGAATTTCATGCGTTCTTAATATTAACCTCTACAAATTTGGTGGCATGGCCTTACTCCAACAGCCTTATAAACAGTGTGTTCTAACTTTAATGAAAACAATACTTATTTGCTTGTTTAACTAAATGGTTCTGCCAAACGTTTGCTTGCTATTAATTGCAGAAAGAAATGGTACGACTGAGTAGGAACCAGTTTTATTTAGCTTATCCAATATTCGCTTGAAGAACAGTAATCAATATATCGTTTGAAATATACTACAAGAAAGTGATTAAAAAAATGACGAATTTATATCTACATTTTATTTTTTTATTTGGTATAACAGGTTTTTCTAGTTTACTTGATGAACTGACACACTTTTCGGGTGGTCGAAAATTGACACTAGATCCAGCTGTATTAGAATCATATTCACATGAATTAATGCAAATGACAAAAGATCGTAAGCAAAATTTTTTATCTGACTTAAAATAATATTTCTATTTCTCAAAAAACTAGCCAAATCTATTTATTACAAAAGTGAAGTTCTACAAAGTCCTTACATTGTCCAACCCACTGATTTGATATATCCAAATTCTGGATTACAAAATGAGGATAGTTCACAGTCTGTTCATCAATTAAATCTAATTTGGTTAGCATCACATATTGCTTTAATTGAAATGATTTTACGAACTTACTTGTTGAACACAATTACACCAGAGACATTAATTAATGCATTAAGGTATGTATTTTCAATGAACTTCTTTAAGTGTTGAAGTGTCATATGTAAAGTTATTAAAATTATGAACATGTACTTTTAAAGTGATTTGAATGGTTTTATAACCCTGGATACTGCAGATTGACGAAATATCTCTGAATTATATAAAACATTTAGTCATTTATCTTCTTAAAACGTATAATAATGCGGTCCAATAAGTGAATAACATACAATTATTTCTCATTTTTTTGATGAAGCGACAGTCAAGTTTTTCAAGTGAATGTTTGTTTTTGTGTTTCATGACTTCATAGTTTTTAGCATATCTTGATCATATTTTTTTAAATTTTCTGCTAACGTTGTTTTAGTTGGTAATTCACTTTAAAAATTTCGGTTAGTGTAGTCATATAAGAAAAAGGGAGAGTGAATTTTTGTAGGCATAAGTGATTTTTGTGAAGAGAAGTTTCAAGACAACTCAGAAAACTTACTTCCGACGAGATCACTGAATAATCTAAAACTGAAATTCACAAAACCCTATGTTTTATCGATAAATAAAGAACCTTTGCACAAATCAACAATAAGAATCGATTCTGACAGAATTACTGTCCATTGACTTTAATCTCAATATATTTGTCAACGTATTAACATAAAACAACCAATGAGTAGTAAATGTTTATTTATTAACACTTTAAAATTAACAGAATTTGACATCCTACATACGTAAATGAAATATAGATAATTAGTAACTTGAGGTGTCACACTATTTTTAAGGATCTTCTACTTTAATTTGTGATAGTAAAACAGAAGTAAAAACTGAGGTATGAATTATGAGTAAATAAGTCCCTCTAAAATATGTATATTGCTGTGTTTTACTGTTAATGTAAATATCGGTTGTGAATAAAGTGTTATTGAATCAATACATGAGGTTAACCTACACTCAAACCTGTACCACTTTTGAGGCGATGAAGTTTGTATTGGTAGTGTAATCATCTAAACAGACGGTGAAAACTTCATGAATAAATCCTTATATTTGTAGAATATGATACTGCGACAATGTTATACGACTAATAACCAAATCTATTCATCTGGCAAGTGTTCACAAAATTGTTAAAGATTTTAACCTGTAAATTGATAAATTAAGTATTAATTGAATATTATTGTCTTATTTCTTATTTTGTGAATGACAATTACATCAGTGACATCACCTTTTAATCTTAAATATGGAAAAAGTACAATTCCTCAATCATGTATTTTGTACAAAAGCTGTCAATACTACTCTCAAAAGATGTAGTATTACTTATCATTTTTAAATCCTTCTTAGTTATATATATTCATAAGGATTGACAAAATAAAATAATACTTGTTCTTTATCGTTTTAATGACTCTCAATAGTAGCACGAAAGGAAGAAAATAAAATGTATTCACTGAAAATAAATCTTTTAACTAAGCTACAGAAGTAAATTATCCAACTAAATTTAAAGCGCCAACAACTACAATAGCGTAATAATTTCCCAAACTTAATGTTATCAACGTTTGTAAGATAAAGTACTGTAGATCAGTGATAATTATTTATGACTAATTGGGTGGGGGGAGGGGGATCGAATTAATTTTTCCATACAAAATCAAATATTTATATGATATCTCTTACAAAATATGAAGCCTCAATATGTTACCACACATATTTGAATTTATGAAGCCTTTGTATTTTAACATAAATTCTTGTGAAAATTTTGACCAGTACGCATTGATGCAAAGTTCTACATACTCAAAAACTCAGTTAATTCTAACTTAACTACTTATTTGTAATTTCAATGCAAGCAATGAACTAATATTAACCGATATGTCATGAAGAATTGATAGTTTAATATCTCGTAAGAGAATAATGGAATTCATCAAATATTCTTTTTTAAAAACGTTTTTCTGTATAAGCAAACCATAATGTAAAAGTCAGTGAAATGGTACCTTATGAAGAGACAATGATTTACTAAGGAAATTGTATTAGTTACTTGCATTGTTGATGAAGAGAATATTTACTGAAATACCTTATGATGCAAATGTCTATGTACTTATTATAGATTAGGAAACTGTTTATTGCATTATATTACTCTACAAAAACATATTAATATCAGAATGGGTTTTTTGGAGATTTTTTTAGAAATTTCATAGGTTGAAATCATGAGTCAATTGAAGCTAGACCACCATGGAAAACCTGAAAGCACTGGATCGTGGATGCGCACCGCTGAGGAGTCCCATACTAGGACGAAACGACCATTTAGTGCTTCCAGGTTTTTCATGGTGGTCTAGCTTCAATTGACCCATGATTTCAACCTATGAGAAACATATTAGTCTAACCCATTGGTAATGTGGCATATCATTCTAATTACTCGTTTCCCTTCAGGATTCCAGGTTAGGGCATGCCTCGTGAAATGGGAACATCATTTTAATTAAGTAACCATTAAATGGGAGTATATTTTTAGTAAAGAGTTTGAATACAGATGATGCAAAATATTGCATGAAAACTACTTATTCTCCTATATTCAGAAAACAAGATAAATATGTAGCTTTAAGATAAATGCACACAGAAATAACCATTTTTTGAATGATATCTGCATCAGTAGACCTCATAACCAAAGATGCTATCTCTTGGTTGTTTAAACCAAACTCGTCAGTAACTGTTATTATTTTCTCAGTATGAATCAAGGAGTAAGGTGAAAATTTTCTAAAAAATCAACTGATTTCCACTATTTAACTTTGTATAGTTGTTCACTGTTTAGGTATTATGAGTTCAAAACCAGTTATTAATTACTTTAACTACTGTGGGTTATGTAAAACTGTATGCTGGTCTGGAGTTGAAGATATAGAGTAATGTTACCAAATAAACTTTATGAATAATTCTAAATTTAGAGGCATTTCATTAAATCACTTATAAATGTATAATTTTAATTATATTTATTGTAATTAATGAAATATTTTAGCATTATTACTGGATGTAATTTGAAAGAGCATTCAATAAAAGGACTTCAAGGTGCTGATGGTGCATTATTTTGGTTAGTTACGGTAGCTGCTAGAACAGTTACAATTTTAGGCATAAATGTAAGCAATAATAACTTACATACTACTTATAATTATTTTTACTTGATTTTCCTTGACAATTTCATCAATCGAATTTTATAAATTTTAAATGATGGAATTCAAAATGCAGAATTTTATCTCAAATGATTTCTAGTTCATAGTTCTGACGATTATGGGAAGATTCTTCAAAAACCTTGTTGTACAATAGAAGAATTATGTAAATAGTTCAACTTGTAGATTACATTATGAACTTCAGCTAGCCAGATGACGATCGTAGATGTACACTTATGTGGAAATCTAAACTATAACGAGACTGTCTAAAGTAATTTCATCAAGAAATCAATGTTTCTTTTAAGAAACTCAAAAAGACCTTAAAATCAATTCCATAGAGATTGCCGATATTTTCTTTATTATCTCCCAAGTTATTTTATTTAGTACTATGACTGAACTTAAACTTTACTTGTTACTTTATAAAAAAACATAAATTTACTTTATTATGTGATAAGATTTTTTCGCAAATAAAGAAGAAACAAAATCGAGGGGAGAAATTTCTTTTCAATTAGTTTTTCATCATGGCTCTACACTAGTATTTATATATGTATGATTTACAATAATGAAATAATACTCGTCGAGTGGATATATTACGTAATAATTACTGTTGGGGACGTTAGATCCCCAGAACTTACTTGGGAAAGGACCTAATTTTGCAATTTTATTTAGGAAATTTGAATTTCTTTGTTTTCGTGCTAAAGGCGCTCTTGTCACCTTCATGTCGTATTTCTCACTGGGAAATATCTTATATGCTATTGGTCCGTCGCGCCTTTTAATATGCTATATGATAACTCTCCCCAAGGACGGTTTTGCACTGTATATATACGTTTTGAATTGCGTTTGTTGTTATCGCTCGTTTCTGGCTGTTTGCAGAATATACTTCCCATTCCAAGCTTGGAATTCTCCCTCCAGTTAGCATGGCTGGGGCGCATCAACAGCTATCTTATTGGTCTTTGGTCACCGAGTCTTGTTCTCGTCCGCAGATTAAGTGAACTCGTGATAGCTTCAAACCTAGCAATTACATAGTGATATTTCCATCATAAATTAATAATGAGTGATTGAAAGGATTATATTTAATTAATTCAAGTAATTACATTCGCTAGTAACAAAAATAATAAAACTTTTGAATATCAGTATGTTTAATGCTTTAATAATACTAAAGTGAATTTGATGTGATTTGCCATGACCAAATTAAATGAGATTGATTAATTTTGTTTGAAAATTATTCATATTCAGTAACTCTTTTGATATTAAACACTATTCAAAACTGATTGTTATTACCATTTATAACTAAAATATTGTCGCTGCATAGAACTATTGTACACTACATAGTGTTGTGAACAATACTGTCGAATTTCATTTAGTAAGCCAAATATATTATAAAGTAGTTACTTAGTAATATTTCAACATAAACTATCGCAGAGAAATAAATAAAAATAATATATTTGTAATATCCCGATTTATAGAAATATTACATTTTCCGATGTTTCGTGACTTAGTGTAAGCCACTTCTTCAGAGGATAAAAGAGGGCTAATCAATCCTTGGATAAAAATAACTAAAGATAAAAAAGAAGTCCTGATAGTGAAGTTTATAGTCAGCGAAGTAAATTTCACCAGTCTACTGTCTCGTTTGTGGGACTTAGATCTGTTATAAATCTTGCACTGGAAATTATCACGTGACAAAATCGCCAAACCGCATACCAACTTATTTGACATTGTTCTTTTGCTAAAACAATGAAAAGTCAAAACAGCACTACCAGCCTTGTGTCAACTCTGGATCCTTATTGGCTCTTCTCGCCTAGCCCTCCCCATTGAATCCAGAAAGCAATCTCAGCCTCTACTGTATGAATAATATATTTCAGACATACATAATTTATATACAAGGAAACCAGACCGCACCACACCATAAGATAAAAAAATTACTATTATTATCATTATTATTATTATACAAGATCAAGCCAAAGGTGGCTGTGAGTGTAAGAGACTGTAAATAATAAATTGGGAATAACTTAAGAATAGTAAATCGTATAATAATAACCAACGGGTCATTCGAAAGCCTATGATAATAAAAATATAAATGTATATAATCTAGTTACTTAAAAGTTATACAATGAGAACATATATATGACAACAGTCTATAAATAGTTCCCAAAAGTTACCCATAATTTAATCTTTGGCTACAACAAGTTTAGTATGACAATACTTTTATTATACACTAATGTAAGCTAAATGATACTAAAATTTTGGTAGGACCAAACAGCCAATTTGTTAGTTGACACAAGATAAGTGACTCCATTTGAGAATACCTTGGTAAATCGTGGGGGAGTACTACTGAAGAACCGTAGACAAAGATGAAACAGTTATCTGGAGCTCTCTTTTTTGAATGGTTCTACAAATAATATCAATCCACAACAAAAACTATCTTTAAATTATATTTGGAAATATTAATAATATCGTTAGTTATCCATACAGAATTCCGACCATTCGATAAAACAACCTAGTGAATTGTTTTATCACAGATTATTGAAAACACTCTACGACAATCATAGTAATAGTATTTTACAGAATATGTTTAAAGGTGACCTCGGTAATCTCAGTGATGAAAACGGCATATTAAATTTATTTTAATTAATGCCATATATTGTAGAGCAAACTGTTTGACAAAATTAACTTGTGATGATTAGTTTGCTTAAGTAATTCACGAATTTGTCGTTAAAGACTGAAGTTTTAGAAGCGAGCACTGAATACACTTAAGGCCGATATAATCTGGTCATGGTCAGTTATAATCAAAAGGAAACCAAAATGAAGTGATTTATGTAAATGACTATTGGCAATTCATACCCAAATAACACATGCTTAGATAAACAACAAAATTTATTTCAAATGGTTTGTCGCTAATACTTAGAAGGTTGTCTAATCCATGTGGCCGAAAATGAACTATCGAAGTTACGGGAATAAGGAATTGATAAGCAATATTATCCTTTAGTTTCCAGTGTTAATGCACATCTATTAATCAAAATAGCAATTCCGTCACATAAAAGAATGAATTAATTTACTAGCAGTTTTCAGTCACTACGACGCAAGACATTATCGTGAATTCAATTATATTACCATGATTTCAGAATGTCTTACAATAAATATAAAAATATGAATTTATTTGTTGTGTAAAAACAATCGCATGAGATATGTCAAGTTGTTGTTAATGCAAATAGAAGTAATCCGTTCTTATTATTGACTACAGTTCAAACAAATTATTCTCTCAAATTAGAATTTTTTAACCACAATATTCTGTCTACATTTTTAGGATTGTACAGAATGGCTGACTAATCATTTAACTGGTAAAGAAAGTTCAAAGAAAGAACAATCTGAATCTTCTTGTGATTCGACGAATACAATAAATACAGACTCTTTGAAAGAGTCAGCGGATAAATTCCTCAGAGGATTAGCAATGGCAAATCTTGTTGCATTAACCTTCCATTTCTATTGTCCTGAACTAGCACCAGCTGAAGGTATTATTTTATTGAATCTGAACAATATATAAAGAAACTTTTCTAAAGACTTTCATTCATATTTGAACACGCAGTTTTCGGAAGGCATTAAAAACGAAACTTTCGCTTGTAGAAAGCTTAGTGACTGAAATCAAAAGTAGCTCTAACGTTTCGCTTAACAGTCTGATCTATTTTTCTTCAAGTGAATAATCTCAAATCAAAATGTTGAGAAATAAGTTTCACAGAGATCTGCTTGCTAAATAATTGTCCAATCATGTTTATTTTTTAAATATAACTTTTTAAAAGTGTGAATACGAGTCACTGGGTATAAAATGTGATGGAATTGTAGTAAGAGAATTAATGTATGTGTTTATGCAAATAGGATGTGAAAAACCATAGTCTAATGGCGGCCTGCTTAAATATCTGGGCTACCTGTTTCTGCCATCTAATTATTTCAACAAGTTATCTGCTTTTTCTTCATTTTGTTTTAACGTCTCATTATGTCAGTCTGGGGATATATAAATGTTGATATTGTTATAGGCACACCTAAATATGATAACTGACTAAAAGAAATGAAAGTACGTCACTGTTGTTCGCAAAACTTGAAATGAAAAATGATTACTAGATTAAGTTTATATTTATTCAATTGCTACCTTAGTGCAGTCAAGTATATTCCATCTCGTCCGTCTAAACCATTTAGGTTCACCCATGTAATTAGCGATTAAGCTGTAAGTCTGTCCCTAAAAAACCGAAATCTTGATGTAGGACTTTTGTCCCTTTGAAGGCGATTATACGTTTTGCTCCCACTGAATGTAATCCTATTGCCTATCTGTTTTCACGTTTCCCAAGGCCATCTGAGGATTAAAGGATATGTTTTAAATGTGCTTTATGCTTCTTTACCCTCATATTCAACTGTCTCAACATCTCGCTGGCACATACGGCGCTATAGTCAGTATATTTGATCTCATTGATATAATTCTGCTGCCCTCATTAGATAATGTTGCCTTGTTTTTAAGAAATACAGAGTTATGAGTATTTTACGTTCAGAAAAAAACTTTTATTGTATCGGTTTCGGATTATTCTAAACCGTTCCAAAGTTTCTTTGTGAAGTTATTTCCATTACTGATCGCTGGGATATTTATGGATATATCTTCTTCTTTAATACTTTTAAGCTTAACTAGTTCAAAATAATTCCTTTGCTTTCGTAGTTTAATTAAGCATCATTAGGTTATTTGTGAACTTACACTTAATTCTAATGGATTATTTTAAAAGGAGATTTTAAATAATTATATCAGTCTTGTATTATTGTAAGAAAAAATTTTATCACTTATCAAGAACCAATTTTAACATTTGGATCCTTCATAATATATCTAACATAGAAATTCAGCTTGATTGTGAATAATCAAATATCGTCTAGTTACAAACCTTTTGACAAATATATGAATGATAAATATAAAATACTACTGGAGAAAGAAGAACAAACGCATCAAAAAAAATAATAATTTAGTTTGATTTCGTCATTCCTCATCAGTGTTATCCCACCTGAAAACAATAACATTAATCATACTTTATATTAAACTCCTCCTGGAGCCCCTCTACGGCTACTGCCGGTCCCAAGCCTAGACAACGAAGAATTATTGGGCATGGGGTTAGCGACCCCATCCCGTAGAAAACCAGCTCGCTAAAAAACACTAACCAGAAAAAAACAGTTCAATTGCTTTATATTATGATATTAAAGAGGTTCTCCTCGATGAAAACTAAGAAAACAGCAATGAAAATGTAAGAATTACAAAATGATGTTTAAATCGTTGAATATTTGTATGTTAAACAATATGAAACTTTACGTAACATATGAATATCGTTTATAATTCCTCCACATTTATTACTGTTTTCTTAATCTTCATTGGGTTGAACATTTCTGATGTCATAAGAAAGACAAAATGAATCCATGTTATTCTGTTATATTTTGTTATTCTTGATCTATTCGGATTTATCGACGAAAAGTCGTATGAAAGCTTTCTTAAATTAACTTGATCAGATAACCTAATGTTATAATTCTTAATTAACTGAAGGTTAGAAAAACAATTCAGTTGGATATTTAAATTCATTGTCACTTAACTTTAAAATTATTTACATTTATTGAGATCACTAGTAACATTTGGTGCAAGGTTTTCATAATTCCAAATTATACCCTAATGTTAGTTTGAATATAATAAATAAATGAAGTTGGTGTTTCCGATCAATTATTTTTGGTACAGTGTCAATTTAGATCACGATAACATACTTCTAGTAGATATAGGAAATAATTAACTTCAATTAACTTCATATATTTGTATACTAGACTAGAAGTATTGACAGTATAATTCGAATTGGAAACTATTATGATGATAACCACCTTCGCCTACACGAACATCAATTAGCAGTCAAACGCCATGATATCTCCTCACTTTTATCAATACACGTGGACAACTGCGGACACTCATTCGATTGGAAAAATGTGGAAATCTTAGACAGAGGAAACTCTAAAAACACCAGAGAATTTTTAGAAGCTTGGCACCCAGGTCAATCAGCAATCAACAAGCATATTGAAATCAATCCAATTTACCAACCAATCAGAAAAATCATGCACAAATATAGGAAAAAAATCGAACCAATGGGAGACACAACCAAAACAAAGAAGTGAACAATGACAAATTTAAGGTCAATAAGAACCAATCAACATCGAGGTGCACAGAACAAGCTGTGAAACACATATGGAGAAATTCAAACACTTCACTTCTATCTGAAGTTTGTGCTGATGATGTCGTTCAGAAGCACGATGAAAGCTCCACAACCAAACCATCCCTCTCAGAGAACAAAACTCCACCAAAAGAAATAAAATATTCATCCTGAATAGTCTATTTAATATTTTATCAAATGAAGCTTTTTATATTAAGTCAATTTGTAGTTAAAATTAACTTTGAATTATGTAATCTATTACAAAGTAATGAGATAAATAAACTTTATCTCTTAATTTTTATTTATTTATTTTCCCAGATTTTTTATTTAATTTCCCGTCAACTGGAGAAATGGAACCAGCAGCTTCACATCATAATGCTCGTGCAATTGCTTCAATATGCCAAAAGAATATAGATTTGTATAATGTTTTATTTTTAATGCCAGATTCATGTAATGGAAATATAATTCGTTTAAATGATTCAGGTTCAACAACATTGAATACATTAAATTTATTAGGATTTTGTTCACAAGGTTTAGCTAGATCACCAACACATAGACGTTTACAACATGCAGCAATGGCAGGTGAACTTTTTGTTTGGTTTACATCACGTTTACCAAATCGTGAAATAAATTCAATAATGCCGTCTACAATGAATTACACAAAGCATATGCATGAAAGTAATACCCAACCGTTTCAAGGTAATATGTCACTGGTAGATTTTAAGAGTGAAACATATCTACATACAAGTAATAAATCCTTATCAGTCGAAAATAATGTCACAAAATCTAGATTCAGTTGTTAATAAGCATGACTTCGATTATCTTTAGAGTCAATCGACATCATTTTTGTCTTGAGATTAGATGGTGGTTGGAGGTAGTCAACAGGAAACCCTGGACCCGGGTTTCGTGCTACTTGGCACTCGTCAGCAAGGTGTACCTGTAATCTTGAGGGAACTGGTGCTCCCTGGCGGATTCGATCTCGTGTCACCCAGCTTCACAGTCAGAGACGTTACCACTGAGCTATCCGAGCCGTGACTAACCTCCTGTAGGACTGAGATGTAATCACAATTGATTGATCACTGGGTGGTGATCAATCTCATGCTTGTCTAGTCCTTAATAGTGCAGATCGAATGCTATCGATCATGTTGCAATGTGGCCACCAGTCTAGGTGACTCGACACTGCGGGCACTATGTATTGAATAGTATTTACTTGAATTACTAATTAGACAGCTTTATCTAGACTTTTTTTAATATCAGAGTGTTGTACTGGTTAATTAATTATTATCATTTTTTAAAAAACTTGACCTGAAAAAGTTTTGAATAATTATTAGTAGCTCGTTAGTGAAGGCTTACATGAACTTGTAAAATGATTCTAAACTGCAAACTAAATAATACGCAGTGATAAACTACAAATAAAGATATTTTTCGAAGCTTACTAAGAAATGATAATATATGTATTAGGCATTTATGGTCTTACAGTAATTTTTTAAACATACTAATCCCTAAATAAGAACCATTGTCGTATATATTGCCTTCTGTGCTTGTTGAATTCTGATGATCAAGTTGTTTCATTGAAATCATCTTGGAACAATGAAAATGTTATTCAATACTTGTTTTTGGATTCTTTTTTTCATAATTGTTGTTTTTTAACACTAAATTTATGAAATATTTTGACTTTCAAATGAGTTATAAATCTGTATAGTAGGATAATATGAAAATTTGTTTAGAATAATTCGAACTAAATATGAAGTGTCATGCATCACGATGAGTTTCTTGATAATTAACAAAAGAATTAAGTTCATACATGTTGTCACATTGAAACCTTTAAAATAGATACTTTTTTTCTGATAAACGTTGGTACTCACACTATTATCTAAGGGATGTGGCAAAGAAAATGAAGAAAATTCGAAAAGATAGAAATCTGTAAGTTAGCTAGAAACTAAACGAATCATATTTTCAAATGAAACCTTGGATTTTTGGCCTAAATCAAACACCAAAATGAATTTTAAAATTAATGTATCTGTTTTCATTTATCAGTAATCATCCTTAAAACTTATTAATTATATACAAATGTATTCCTCAAAACTAAACAGAAATTCTACGTAAATATATGATTAGGGCGTGCACTGCTTTTATATTAAACGTAATTTACCAGATAATTTATATCTTGGTGAATCACTTTAGTAATGGGTGGAATTAATATTTGCACAAACGTTGGTTATTTCTTTAAATAAATGGGTAAAACTTTACTGTTTATTTATTTATTTTTTGAGAATAAAGGAAAAAATAATATCAAGGTTTTTTGTAGAGATTTGTATTCTCCCGCTGTTAATATTATGGATTGTAATTGATTCAGTCTCTATTGACAGATGTGCATTCAAAGTCTATCGCCTTGACATTTCTTTTTATGCTATCCCAGTATTGATTGATGAGTTTCAATTCTTATTGTTAGCAGTAAAAAATTATAAGCAATAAAGACTAACTTCTTATCCGTTGAATAAGTTGATCGCCATCTGAAATCGATAGCTTGGTGTATGGGGCTTCAGTGTTTGGAACGATATATACTGGATTCGAGTATTTGAATAAAAATTAACAATGAAGTCAGGGTATTTCAGGTTGAAAAGCCTAAAATAGGATGAGACAATTATCTTAGTCTCACTCATAATTTAAATATATTCAGTAAATCAAAAGTTTCTCAGAAGGAATATTCTTTGAGGAAGATAGTATTGCATTCATGCCAACACATTTACCGAGTGTTTTTAAATCATATTACCATTTTTAACTAAAAGTCATTAATTTTATTCAAAAAGCTTTCGTACTCACAATAAAGTCGATTATATCTAAGTAAAATAACTTAATTCAAGAATGTATTCATTCTAATCAATCAGCAATTTTTTTTACTACTCAGTACTTTATCATTCTATCACACTGTTACTTTTAAAGCGTTCGGATATGAAGAAGAGATATGACAAAGTATAAAATATCTTTGTATAGCTATTTTGTTAAGATGCAACTATTTACATTAGTATCAGAAGGGGTTTTGTGGAGATTGTAATAATTTCAATAGTTGAGATCATGAGTTAATTAAAGCTAGACACCATGGAAAACCTGGAAGCACTGGGCTGTGGGACTCTTTCGCAGAGCGCATCCCTTACCCCGCCTCGCTCGCGAGGTTATATGTGTATATGAGATTTCATTTTGTTAACAATAGATTATAAAAACAAAATGATCAGTTAAATGTTCAATAAACTTCAAAATATAAAAATAGATATTTAAAGAATGTATGTCACTAGATACAAAATAAAACAAGCAATAAAGTGAATATTTTTTACTCAAAACGTTTAAGATACCAGTATGTGTTCGTGAAGTATTTGTCAACATAGTGAGCACTCGATTAGGTATGTTCTAAGCAAAATAAAACGTATGTAATTATCAGTAAAAAATTTTGTTTCTCTATATAAGGTAAACAACTTACTTTCATACACATAAGTAATACAATTTAGCGTACTTCAGCAATGGTTTAAATGTTGCCACATAAATAAGTAATTGATAGGAAGTTACTTTTTAACACACTATGACATACTTGAATAAAATACTTTCATACATACAATAACATTATTTCATTCGTTATTTGTTACTTAAAATCTATATAAACGTTTCAACAAAGAGGGATTCACTGGGTTGAAATGTAAAACAAGTGATACTGATGATAATCAAATCAATATGATACCATTAGATGAAGTAAATGATGATAGTAATTCAGCTTCTGGTAGAGGAACTTATCGACTTGATGAAACTTTCAATGAACATCAAAGACAAGTGAAACAATCAAAAAAACCAAATCTACAGACAAGTTATTTCATTCGATCAAAAACTATACGTTTAAACAAGAATCTGTCAGATGTTGAAAAATTGGACAGTAAACTTAAAGAGCTTTCAACTAAACAATTAATAAATTCAAAAACTGGTGGTATATATTTTCCTGTTGATTCAATTGATACACCACGAAATGAAGAGAATAAACAAGATAATGTAGAAAATCAAGATGAATCACAAAATGCACCGACAAAGTAAGTTGAAAACATGATATAGATAGAAATTCAATGCAACTCCTTAAGCTGCAATAATAATGAGTGATAGTTATTAGTTAACTATTACATTTTACTGGTGTTTAACTTAGGTTTTGACAAACAAAATGAAGAAACGATAGTTATATTACGCTTACTGTTCTAATGAATTGTATATTATGTAAGTAGTTGTTTTCTGAAAATCTATATAATTTAAGATTTTAAATTGCATATTATTAACATTTAGGAACATCGATTTTTTTGAGTTAGTTCTTGTAGTGAAATATTTACACATGGAATATATTTCAAGAATCGGTATTACAATGAAACACCAGAACAAGAAACAGTATTTTATAGCCCTCATATAACCATAATAAGTAGATAAACATTTTCATGGTCATTTTAGAGTTGTTCAACGGTGGTCCATAAATTATAGTCTTACTTGTCCAGCTATACAATAACCCATTATTTGTTTTATTAAACAGTCAATTTGACTTTTAAAATATGAATAAATTTGACATATATGAATACATGAAAGTTAAATTGTGAGTTTCCTGAAACCTTACAAACTTAGATCTTGTTAGAATTCATTACTTTTAATAATTACCTTATTGAATCCTAAAGTCTATTATATAATAATGTATTTCAATGAAATCGTTCTCTACTTATTCATATCAAATCATCTTAACAGTATAACTTTGTTTAACAATATACAGTTCTCAAGAATTTCTTCATACCAAAATAAACATAAACACATACAAATGTAAATTATAAACACCAATCAATTGAACATAACTATACCAATGGTTCCTTTTAATAGTGTTTAACTGAGAAAAATATTAGTATATTACTATTGATTGATCACTGGGTGGTAATCAATGTCATGTGTGTCAAGTCCTTATTTAGTGCAGATCGAATGCTATCGACCATGTTGCAATGTGGCCACCAGTATAGGTGACTCGACACTGCCTGCACTATATATTAAGATTAGATGGTGTTTGGAGGTAGTCGACAGGAAACCCTGGACCCGAGTTTCGTGTTACTTGGTACTCGTCAACAAGATGTACCTGTTATTTTGAGGGGACTGGTGCTCCCTGGATAACTGGCCCGGATAGCTCAGTGGTAACGTCTCTGACTGTGAAGCTGGATGACACGGGATCGAGTCCGCCATATATATATATATAATTGCTGCAGCGTACAAAATACATAATTGGTTGTTAAGTGTGCACTGTACATATATATTCTACTAGTATTTCAAACTATGTTCAAATGAATTAATATATGTGTGATATTCCAATGAGTTGATTAATTTTGATTTAGTTATTGATTTTCGGAAGAAGTGACTTGCACTGGGTCACGAAACATTAGAAAATCACATTTTCCTACTCACTGAGATATCTACAAACATGTTTTATTTATAAGAATCTATCTAAGGCTCGATTTATTTGAAATTATCAAGTCATACCTTGGTAATGATACTTGCAACTAAATGATTTCTGAATTCCCCTTTATTATAACTCTAAAAAACAATATTGTTTTCATTATCTTACTTCCAGGTTGTTGTTTTTTTTAGGGAAGAAAAATTCTAATGAAATTTAAAATCAAAATATAAAATTTGCAGTAATTATTAATTAACAATTTTTCTTTTGTAGATGGAATCCTTTAGAAGCATTATTTAAGCCTAATGTGCTTAATGAATCAAGTGAAGTATATATGAATATCCCATCTACGGAAAATCATGTATGTAAATAATTTACTATAGTTATCAGTTAACTATTTAGTAACTTGTAACCTTGTGTCCTATTAATATATATATACCGTCAATTAGAGAACAGCGATTATCGACTGGACCAATGACGTATAAAACTCATGCGAGATGTCCAGAGTCTTCATTGGTTCTACTTCCTGCTTAACCCTGCCTGTTAAGTCCAGAACACCAATTTCAGCCTCTGCGATATTAATCATGTATTTTAAAGATACTGGGTTTATATACAAACTAAACAGACCACATCGTACTATAAAATAGAAAATAACATTTGTACAAGATCTAGCCAAAAGTGGCTGTGAATGTGGGAGATAGTAATTAATAGACAGGGCACAACCCAAGAATGGTAAATTGTATAATAATAGCCTTTAGGTTAAAATAAAGCTTTTAATGAGGGGAACATGAATGTTCATAGTTTAGCTACTTAATAATTATACAATAAAAATATATGTATCATATTGGTCCATTAATAATTCAAAAAAGTTACCATTCATAATTCTCGTCGGGATATAACAGATGTAGCTCTTAATGTTTAGAATTCACAAGATAATATGATAACCCAGTGTTTATATATTAAAATATTGATAGAAAGTGGTAACTTAGCATTTGAATTACTAGAATCTATGTTTGAACACAGATTTGCTTACTTTGATTTGAACAGTTGAGTAATGTGAATTTATAAAAAAATATTTATGAATGGTTAAATTTCAATTTAGTCATTATAACTAATAGTTACTAACTGAGTTGAATGTACTTTTAAAATAACCGGAATACACTGATTGTTTTTATATAGGAGTTTATACAACTGTAAAATATCAGGCATCTGGCTAAAAGGTATAAAGTGTCAATTAATGTCTTAATTACATAATTCAATAAACAAGTAGCTTTTTGTGACATTTATATTATTTTTTTGATAAATAAAACAAATACTTGCTGAAAATAAAGATACGATAACATTAGTCGAAACCCTACATGTCAAATGGTAATTCTTAAGATTTCTCCTAATAGACCATAACACATATTTGTTTCTTTTTTCTATTTAACTATGATAAACTTATTATAAATTAAGCTATATATAACAGAGTACTATTTTCATAAATTATTCAAATAATTTGTGGATTACAGATATACAGTACTATAGTTTGATTGAAATACAAAACTCAGTTGTCAGTAATGTTGATAATTTAAATACCTTTAAACTTCATAGTTAAACAACTTATCTAATCATTCAAAGATACTAATGAATGGACTTTATTCATTTTCTTTATTCCATACTTTCACTTTTACAGGTAGCTGAGACGGAATGTACTGATCATCGTAGTTCGGAAGTAATGTCGTATTATCCAGTAGTTGACTATCAGTTTCCAAACACAACTCAGGGTAATATATTGAACTGTAAAATTACAAATGTTGATACTGCTCATGTAACGACTACAACAAAATCCCAATATTTGAAAGAAAATCCTGTTACAGAAGAAGCACAGGCGCCTTACAATCCACAAAAAATCGATTCTAAATCTTTTAGACATAGTAGATCAATGTCACATAACAGAATGATGCCTACTTACTCATCATCTCAGCGCAAATCGCAAAAATACGAAGATTTTAATCCTTCCAGAAGATCAGGTTATCGAATTTCCCATTCCAGAAAACACTCAATCGACCATCATGATAAAAACAGTCGGTTTTTTAAATGGCATCATAGACCTTCAAGAAGAAAGAACAATTTTACACCTTACAACATTGATGGTTATTCAGATTCTGATCTAAATACTATGTATTATAATAGGAATAATATGGAATATTCATCATCTGATTGTTCCAGCAGTTCAGAGCAAAGTGCTGAAGTTCTTGGTGAAGGAATATATTCGAATTATTCAAGCCAAAAACGCCACGGTCATTGTCCGACTTTTGTTGATAATGCAGAATCAAGAAGAACTTTAACACAAAATGAAAGAAGAAAATTGTATAATCGTGAAAGAAGTAAGCAAAGACAAAGAAATATTCCAGAAACTGTCAATCAACCATACTTTTATGGCTCTCATCCTGTTCAACAACAAGTTCACTGTGTTTATCCTTACGAAACTGCAAACCAGAAGGTATATACAGATATACACTGCCTACCTTACGCTCCAGTACAACCAACTTGGATTCGTCCTCCATTCATAACAAATACTTTAAATCCCTGTCCGTTTTATGCAACAAATCAGCCGACATTTGTGGGATCGCCATCAGTTTCAGTTATACCACGATTACATAATACAAGTCCTCTGTCATTTTCGCATCCAAATAATCCTGATCAGCTCTTAGTATATAACTTGAATGAACAAAATGTATTAGTACCAGAGTCAAATAATCCTAATGTACATATAATCACAGAAGCAGTAGTATCAACTGAATCAGTCAATTTGCAAACGGAAGTGAGTGAAAACTCATTAAATGTTTAATTAATTACTTTATAAACTGACATACTAACTGTAGGTGAAGATTCCTAACTTAAATTCATAGATTCATTTATATCTTGCCATTCAATAACCTAATAGTAAATAGATTTACAATGCATTCGACTAAGTATGCTTTTTTGTTGTTCTCTATCATTGGTTCGACAAGAGATTAAATATTTTCACGAGACTTTACTCACAATTTATTGGGTTTTATTTCGGCGATTAATGAGATATCTATATCAATTAAAGATTTTTGGCATCTTTAAGTTATGTAACTCAAATCACAACCTGAGAATCGTTATCATTACTCATTAACACCAGCTATAAAACCATTTTAGGGGGACAAAATATTGCACAATCTATTTATTCTAGCTTAGGATTCCTTGACATTGCGCAGCTGCTATCACATAAGATATGATTTTGAAACTTTACGTCTCATGGAGGCCATAATATGCTTAAGAACTGAGTATGAACCATGTGGTTTCCAATGTATATAAGTCTAGCTTATCCGTGATTCGAGTGCACTATCTTTCTGTGTCAATGAAAAAAACTCCCACACTCCGAAATCACCTTACTCTATGGGTTACAAAATCTGACTAAAGCTCTGAAGAATCTATTTTAACTTCTTTCACTAGTGATAATTCAAAATGGACTACAATTATACTTTGAATTTTCACTTTGTTCTAGAAACATTTTATCAGATAGCACTACAATCTCATTTCAAATAAATAGTAGTAAAGTCACTATTATTCAAGTACGTATATATCTATACATAATGCATTCTGTTAGTGAGTAATAGGCTGTAAATTTACCTTGTTTTGAGTGGTGTAAATAAACAAAACCGCAAGCAGCCTTTTGAAGAAACCTTATTTTACTTTTAATATTCTAAAGAGGTTCATTCAATAGTTTGTATATCATTTAAACGCTTCACTCATCTATAGTTGTCATATCTATTCTATAGATCGGAAAAATTAAGTTAAATCCTTTTGTATGACATGAAGAAGGTTTATTTGTGATACTTTTGTTCATCTTCTTAAATATGGATAAACAACCATGAATTTAAGATGAAAAGTGTAATAAAACTGATTAGAAATGTAGTCAATAGAACAAAACGGCCGTTCAGTGCTTTCAGGTTTTCCATGGTGGTTTAGCTTCAATTGACTTATGATCTCAACTATTGAAGCAATAAATTGTTGTTTACTTACTATTCTTGAAATTTTAAACAAATAGATCGTTATGGCCATTATGTAATAATTAAGAATTAATCAATTCAAAGAGCTTAAATGAAGTTAAGAATTATACAAGTCAGTCAGTCAGTCAGCTACAACGCAGAGCCAATCACATATATTCATCGGTCCAAGTTGCCATACTTCATTAACACAACAAGATGGACGCCGGATTCATAGAAGTAGTTAATTCAATGGTGGTAGTATATAAAAGGAAGATTGCATATAAGGATATAGTACAAGAAGAGAGAAATAGTTAGTAGAAAGAAAGATATGAAGCGATTTTAATCTCATAGTTTAAGTGAAGACAGAGAGTGTATACACCAATGCCATTGTGATCGATTCTGAGCCATGTCACCAAGAATCTCCAACCATTGGTTACGATAGTCACGCGGACGCCAACCGAGTAGTCTGCATCTACCAACATGGCTCAGACAAGTAAAACTAAATAAGAGAAAAAACGTAAAGGAATTGTGGAGTTACAGATAACTGGACTAATACATTCGCACTTGTACACATAATTAATCAATGAAATAAATTGAAATATCCGAAAACATTTGAGTGATTTTAGTTTTGAATTAAAACAATAACATTGACACTTGTTTATCTAATACGTATGTACATAGGTGAGTGTGAAATCTTGCCACTAGTAATATAAATCTCATATATTCTTGGAATATTGAATAAAATGATTATTAAATGACTTGTAAATAGGTTAGTTACTTTTCGTACATGATTGAATATTTTCACTATTCAATAGATCTGTCATTTCGAATGTTACAAAAAATTGTTGAGATTTCTAATGATTTTTCTTAAATATGATTATTATGTAACTGTTATGGCTTGATATCCGGCTTTTTATCACGTGATTTACCCACCAATCAAAACACGACTTATACAATCTTCGCACTGTGCCAAAACCAATGATGTTCGACCGGTATGGGCAGTCTAGTGTCCTTATTGATCCTATGTCCGCCTAACCCGTCCACTTGAGTCCAGAACACCAAATAGCAGCTTCCAATATGCGAATCGAATCGAATCATTTATTTCAGACATACTAGGTTTATATATCAACCAAACAGACCTCAACGCACCATAAAATAAGAAATAACATTTGTACACAATAAAGCCAAAACGTGACTGTGAACGTGGGAGGTAGTATTCAATAAACTGAACATCGCTTAAGATTAGTAAATCGTACAATAATAAATTATAGGCGAAAATGAAGCTTATAACAAGGGGAATATAGATATGCATAATCTAGTTACCGAATAGTTATACCATAAGAATGTATAGATAATATTAGTCAATTATTATATCTCAGAAGTTACTCGTGATTTAATCTTCGCTCGGATATAACAGTAACAATGAATAGAATAAATTATTACTTAGTTTACAATTTTAACTGCTGTTAGATTAGTTAAACTTGTTTATAAGCAAATGTTTTAGTAAACATTTTCCTTTCATTCATCTCGTCTAAAAAAATGTTGACATTATTTGACTGATAAAATAACTATAACTAAAAAGTGGTCAAATTATCTTTAAGTAAAATGTTTAATTTATTTGTGAGAATGAGAAGTTTATGGAGACTGTTAAGCGTTATCAGGATTAACAACCGACCTGAGTTAGACAATCTTTCACATACAGAAACCACCGTATTTTGTCACGGTATGGGACTCTCCAGAAGTATGCACTAACAATTCCATCAGGGATTAAATTTGAGACCTTCAGATCTTGTGGCAAATCATTCACCTTCAAAACATTGAGTTGTGATCATGTTAAATGGTTTACATTTCTTACTCAATTCGTGATGTTGAGCAACCATCATCCGTTGGGAATTAAAATTAGATATAGTACCATTTCACTGGATTTCAAGTAACCGGTTTGAAAATTAAGAAATTGTTACCATCGTTGATGATGGATGTTTATTGCTGAAAAGTGGATGGAAAAACTCTGATGCTTACTGGTTTTTGACGGTTGTCTAACTTAGGGTGGTTCATGATTTCAATAAATTCAACACGCTTTGTTTTAGAATCTTATTATTTGTTCTAAACTTTGGATACCTGATAATCATTCATATTTTGAAGTGTGTGTATCGCATTACTTTCTGTACGTGAACAACCTGTCACAGTAGCACTTTTTAATTATTTCACTTCCCATGTTTTCTGTTCGGGGTCCAAGGGTGAAAGACTTTTCGAAATTAGGAAGCGATTAGATAGTTTCTATATAAGCACATAAGTACAAGCAATACCGTAAGGCATAGGGCGATAAAGTGTATGGAATTAATAGTCTATTTCATGCACCTTAGTTGTGTGGAAAGATTAATTTGTAACGGGAATGGAAATTTTCCAAACTATAAAACTGAAACTTTAAGGAATTGAGGCTTGAACTGTTTTTCCGAATCAAGAAAATGTTATAAGTTGACGTGATTAGTTAACCTAGTCAGACATAAAACTATAGCAGTGAATTCTGTTTTTAACTCACTTTCAACCAAAAGAAAATAACGGAACTGATTGGCGTTAAGAGATCCTTATTTTCAAATAGTCAGTATTCAAAAATAAAGATAATTGAATTTGTCATGTGGTGTGTGCTACTGATGTCAAAAGATAGAAGTAGTATGTATCATCAATCGTAAATGAAATGCCTGGTGTCAGAAGGTTAAGAAGATCGAAGAAAAGCGAACGAGGGCAACGAATTATTGGTGTGGAAGCGAAGGAACAATCAAGTTTGAGACAATTGATTGACGTTTTTCAAATGAAGTATTTTTGTATGGTTATAAGATTTTACTAAGGCATTCTGTAATTTTGTATTCAAATATATTCGGTTATCCCCACCGGTGTTCTTGTTCACTACAGTCATGTAGACTAATAACTGTTGTTTTAACACATATATTCCCGTAAGAAATACAAAAACTATTTGAGTCAAAACTGTTTACTACTTATTAAACCACCTTAAAATTAATCACTACCGCTATTTAAAAAAAACAAGATAAAATAATGAATCTTTCCCACTGCTTTGCTAAAGATATTTATGAATAAAGTTTCATTAAATATTTATCTTCTATAAAGACACTTACTACTCATGAAAAATATATTAATTGATAGTAGTATGAAACTTGGGTTGCTCTGCTTTTCTTGTTGGAATGACACTGAATCTCAGAAACCATGTGTAAAAATTATTAAATTTAAACTTCAAATAACCTCCTTTATGACAGCTGGGGAAACGACATTAATATTCTAATTAAAATGAGTGAAATATACTTTATTAGAAAGGGGTTTTTTGTCGATATTATAGTATTTTAATAGATGGGTTCATGAATCAATTGAAGCTTGACAACCATGGAAAACCTGAGAGTTCTGGACGACCGTTTGGTCGTAATATGAGACTCCTCAGCAGTGCACATCCATGATCCCACCCCGCGAGATTCAAATCCAAAACCTATCAGTCTCGCGCGCGAACGCTTAATCCCTAGACCAATGAACCTCTGGATCCCGGCTCGGTGGTCTAAAGGTTAAGCGTTCGCATGCGAGACTGATAGGTCCTGTGTTCGAATGTCGCGAGCAGCATGGTGGATGTGCACTCTTATCATTATCCTTATCTTCTCTTACCTCGTTTCCAGTCTAGTTGACCTTTTATTTTTATATATAAATGCTCTTAACAAGTGTATGTGTGATCAGATTGTTCGAAATGTATTGCGCTAATATATCACATAGTTCTGATAACCTTCGTCTTCTTATTACATTATCGAAATTTATCACAGGGACTAGTTGTTATAAATAAAGAAAAACAAAATAAGCTATTTGATCAAAGTTACTATTTTTTGTTCATTTAGGATTAATTTGCCTTAAATTCTTTGCATATAGTTCATTGCTGTATCAAGTGACTGATAGTTATGGAAAACAAGATAAGAGATTAGTTACTATAGAATATTTGAAATTTTGCTATTCATTATTTATTTATTTATTCTTAGGATTGCTCACCTATATCAAATGTAACAATTCAAAATCAGCTTGAATCTAGATCCTATCCAATTCCACAATATGAAATTATATCTAATCAAAATTTTGAACCAAATAATGTTACATCAAATAATTCTCCAGTAATTCAAGTACCTGTATATTATTCTCAAGCTGAATCATTTTTTATTCCTTTTGAAACTGATTCATCAAATGTATCAAGTACATTTCATCATAAACATAATTCAAAATTTAAATCAAAAAATAAATCCGTAACAAATCAGAAGTTAATAGATAACTTTAGTGAATTGAAACATTCAAATCCTTTTGATAATGATGTTAATCATTTAGATGGTATGAGTTTGGAACCAATTAATGTAGTAATCTCAACCGCACAACTGGAAAATTACCAATTATCAGGTTCTAATGTAAGTTTGATTTTAGATCATGATTTTATTTTATCTACCAAACGTTTGATGGTTTTTTTCCAGACCAATTAGATTGTTTGCTTTGGTTATACACTCTCAGTTTCAAGTAGTTAACGTCATGATGAGTATATTTTTTGTACTGTATTTTATGATATTTATTCTCTTCGAACAATGTTAGCACTGTTGATATATCATTGTTTATGTGAATAATCCAACGAATTATTGACAGTTGAAGTTTTCAATAGGATGAAACATTTGTCTTGAATTCCACTACTATCCAAAACCAAAGTTTTCTCAATTTTTTTTAAATTTACGATACTACTACTGACAGCTTTAACTTCTTCAACATATCAACATTCGTTTTAGTGCTGTTTGTTAATTTTTCTCATGGAGTTAATGAGAATTATAACAAATTTTTTTAACATTAAGACCAAAAACGTCTGCTAAAAAGTTATTATGCTGAGTGAATTGAATATAAATTGACTGAGGATGATTTATCTGTGACTTCTGTTTTGAAAACAGCCAAGTATTAAAATCATAATGATAAATAAATTAGTGACACAAGAACGAAAATCATATCATTGAATGGTATTAACTGTAAAAGGATTGAAAATTATGGAACATAATATATTTGTTTTATTCTGATCTTAAAACTCGTTAACATAGCAAAATTTCAACCGGTCAGAATCTAGAACCGTCTGGTTTGAAATCGAACAGAATACATTTTCATACCATCAAATCGTCTATACTTCCAAGAACCTATATCTCTAAAAAGAAAATAGTCTTCACAGTTCGAGAGCACGCCACCTGTTGGGGATAGCACATAAAGTGGGTGCGACGAAGGGATTAAAAACTATGGAAAAACAGTCATATATGAAAATATCAACCATAACAAATCATGAATATGCACATCATCACAAACACTTAGCAGACTTGATGACTAGTATATAATAAGATAGACAAAAATATTGATCATTGGGACTTCATTGCTTGTGTGAATATAAAGTGTGAAGTAAATACAATCTATTCAATGATTATTTTATACATTTAGATAAGTGTACTCTCGATAAAATGAAACCAAATAGATTATTAAAATTTAAAAGTATCAGGTTCGAAATTAATTAATTTGATATGAGCAAGATATTGTGAACAAAGCGACATCTAGTGAAACATACTGTAGTGAACAGAATACGAGCGGGGACAATCAAATGTATTTGAGCACAAAATTACAGAGCATCTCAATAAAATCTGAGAACCATATAATAAATCGTTAATTTGCAAAATATCAATCCATCCTATCGAATTTGGCTGTTCCTGTTACAAACATCTATCCATTGTCTCAGATTTCATTGTTCATGTGTTTTCATACCCGTTCCCTCTCTTTCCTCATCGACCTTCTACTAAAATACATTCTATGCCTGACCACCATTATAAACTACTTGTATGGATATTAGTAACCCACACCACAATACTACTTTACAGTATAATGTAGATCCCAGTTAGGCTGATGGTTAAATTACTTGGTTTTAAAATAAGAGTTTAGGATTTAAAATTCCCCTCTACTTACGTCAGTGTTTACATCTAGATAATACCACCAGCTTTCACAAAAAATAATGTATCTCACAGTGGATTACATCAAAGATGTACTTCATCTTCCATTATCTACTGTGTAATGTATTAACAATAAACAAATTAACATAATTTTGTATCTTTATCAAGGTACATACATCTTTAATTATTGAACTTTCAGTACACGTTTGTTTAATAACCCAAAACTAATTTATTTTTTAAATTCAAACTTTTCATATCAACTATTTTCATTTAAAAATTTATTAAAATTTGTAGAGAATCACATCAAGTTCTGATACTATAGAACAATCAGAAGATAACATTCATACAACTCCTGATCAATATGTAGATAATTGTAAATCTAAACAATCTGAAAAACAAATACAAGAACATGTTCGTCCAAGAAAAGAGAGTATTTTACCAGTAAGACAAAAAGTGGTGTTCTTTTTTCCAGATCATTTCTAAAAGCTTTAGATATTTCTTTTATTTAAAAGAGTTTGATGAAGATTTGTTTAATTTATTGGTGAAATTTGTCACAGGATTGATCTCGTTCGTGATATGAATACTGAAGATATTAAGTACTCCCTCAGTTTTAATGACAAATGTTTGACAAATACTATCTATAGATGTTTCATTTATTATTATTTAATCTTATTTTATTTATTTAAAGATCAACTGTTAATGAGACTATAATTTATGGACGACTTTTGAGCGCCGCTAGACTGACCTTCAGAGCATCCACCTAATAACCAAGACCAAATGAGTGTTATAAACCTGTGTGAGGAATTAGAATTAGAATTTACGGTTGATGATTAAGGTTAGGAATTAGATTTCGGGTTTTCATCACGAACTGACATCAGCTATAATGCCAAAACTCTATTTATTCAAATAGATGAGTGAATTTCGCACCAAAATCCGAGACCTGTTATCTTATACGTGATTGGTTAGTTCATAGATTATTCTCTCGCCCAAATGTTCTCTAATATAGTCACAATATTATTTAATATATGATTTTACGTAAGTACAGTCAGTCAGTCAGTAGCAACGTAAAACTTCGTACGTACGTACATCAGTTCGAGTTGCCACACCACATTAGCACAGAGATGCAGTGGTCGATTCAAATCCCGTAGTGCTAGATGTAGTAAAATCATAAGCTGTTATCAGAAAAATTAGGGTTGGAAGATGTTATTCAAGGAGTATAATCCAGTGAAATAAATTTGGAAAAAGAAAAAAGGAAGTGACATGAAGAATTCAGAAGATTAGAGTTTGGGAGAACACAAAGAGTGGATGCACCTGCGCCATTGCAAACGATTTGGAGCCATGTCATTCAGGGTCTCTAACCATCAGTTGCTATCATCTCGCGGTCCCCAACCAGGTAGTCTACACCCACCAACATGAATCAGTCCACTTGTCAGTGACTTCATTGATTTGTGCCATTTTTCGGTTTGGCCGCCCCTAGCTTTCTTCCAACCTACTCCTATACAACAAAACATCGCACATCCAGGCAGTCGGTGGTTGGGCATACGTAACACGTGTCCCAGCCGTCTCAACTGATGAAGTTTCACTACTTCATCAATTGATTTGCCATCCTTACCCAGTACCCGTTTCCTAACAACTGCATTACTTACTCGGTGGTCCCAGGATATACGAGCAATGCTTCAAAGACTCCTATGATCGAATACTAGTAACCTACGAATATCCTCTACTCTTACCGACCATGTTTCACTGCCATAAAGTAGGACGGAACGAACTGCTGCGCAGTAAACCCGTCCTTTCGTTGGTAGACGAATATCGCGCCTATGCCACAAGTTGGCAAAAGCTAGTCGAGCCTTCTGTATCCGTGCTGAGATTTCGTCACACACCAGACCACAAGGGCTGATGAGACATCCAAGATAAGTGAAGCGGTCGACACGCTCAACTACTTCACTCCCTATTATTAGTTTTGGTGTCAATGCAACCCAATCCTGAAGCATTATTTTGCATTTCGAGGGAGAGAATCGCATCCCGAACATGCTTGCATTGTTGCTTAGAGTGATCGGAAGACTGCATTTTGTCAGCGTCTTCACCAAATAGGGATGTGTCATCGGCATATTCCAAGTCAACAAGTGAATCTCCTGGTAAAAGTCCAATTTCTGGAAATTTAGATGAGGAAAGTGTTATCTCTAAAAGCACGTCAACGACAAAGTTAAACAAGAATGGAGCAAGTGGGCAGCCTTGAAAGTACAAGTTAATAATTTTAAAGTGATCTAACTATATATTTCCTTTAATCAATTTTAACACTGATTAAGTACAAGTATTTATTTAGTGGACATATTTTTTCAACATTTTTACATTATGGACATATTTGTTTTTCTTTATTGATTTCTACTGTCTCATGATTGTTCTTTGTTTTAATCTAAGGGAATTAAACAAAAAATTTGTCAAATGATCAATTACTTTTGAGCTTATTTATATATTGTAAATTGAAATGACCTTTAAAATAAATATTGTATATCTCAAGAAAACAATCAGTTTTAATTGTAAACTCTTATTATTTATACAATTGAAACAACCTTGGGTTGTAGTTTAAAGAGACATTTGAATCCAGAACTAATATGTATAAATTGACATATATATATCACGTTATTGAATTAGTTCCTTTAATTAACATGTCCTATGAAACAACGTATATCATACGGTATTTCATTGACAAATGAAGTCTCTAATATTTCATTGAAATCAATGCTATGAAAGCATATAACATATAATTCCCACTACAGCTTCATATATTATGATTAAAAAATGAGCCAGTTTTAGATAACTTGTTCACAGGCATTATGAGCAAAGATGGATAATCGCTAGAAGTGGAATCCAGGACGCGTGTTTCGTCTTATTTGGGACTCATCATCTGGATGTACCTGCATCTCAGAGTTAATGTTAACTCTGGGAGTTGAATCCAGTACCGTTTGCTTCAAATGTTATCGCGTTATCCTCTTAGCTAGAACAAAATGCACATTTGAGATTCTACTGCTAACCACCATCTATCTTTGCTTACAATACTTATGACTTAAGACAATATCGAGGCATTCCGCACAGTATACACATATGCCAATAAAAGACTGATCAACTGCAGACCTAAACATCAATAGGAAGATTCAAGTAAACAATACCAAGTGAATTTAACTTCACAGTTACATAAATCTCTCCAGAATAGTGTATTTTAATGTATCTTAAGGTTACATTAAGCACTATTATAGATAGAAAAAATAACTATCATTATCTTGTATCTCGTAAATTCATTTTTAAGAAAAAACACTCATCGCCACAAAGTTAACAGTTAAGTAGATTACTAGTTTTTTGTAGACTAACGGTTCTGTTTTGTATTAAATGTTGACTATAAGGTTTGACTGATAACATGATTACATTATTGTAAAAATAATATTAGCAGTTTACAGTGAAACAGTGACAATTTAATATTTTTTCTTGCATAAAAGAGATTAGAATATTTATACAGGTAGAAGAATTTTTCTTGAAAATCTACAAACAGACTAAATACAGAGAAAAATACGGTGATCTTTATTATTTTTTGTGAACGCTTCCGTTTATTCACTTGAAAAAATAAGTCATTCAGTCAGCTACAACGTAGAACCAGGCACATATATACATCAATCCAAGTTGCCATACCACATTAGCACAGCAAGATGAACACCGGATTCATAGAAGTAGTTGATTCAATAGTGGTAATATATAAAAGAAAGATTGCATATAAGGATATAGTACAGGAAGAAAGAATTAGTACGTAGAAAGATATGATGGTTTGAACTGAATGGTAACATGTAATTATCTTATATTATCAGGTTCTTATCAGCTACCTATAAAGTGTAGTATTTCAGTATTAAATTATAAATGGAGTTGAATGTACCTTTCAAAATAAACATCGAGGTATAAAAGTTTGTACTGTGGACTAATCTTAGTTGAACAACTATTGAAAACCAGAAAGTACTGGACAACTAGTTTCGTCCTAGTATGAGAATTAAAAGTAGTACACACAGAATTGAAGGTAGACGTGCAAACTATTGGATGTAGGCTCAGTGGTTTGAATCGTGACATGGAGATCTTGAGTTCAATCTCGATGGGACTGAGAATACGCACTGTTGAGAAAACCCATACTAGAACAAACCAGCTGTTCAATGCTTCCTGGTTTTCAGTGGTTATCCAGCTAATATCAGTCTGCGATTTATACTACAAAATTCAACAATTTGGACAATAGCCTATAATAATATACCTAGAAGTATGGTAAAGATTCTAATAAAGATAAAAAGGTTGAATCACTTATTGCATACAAATATCGTCTGCAAAAGAATGTTCAACAGCACTGAATTATTTGGATGGTTATTTAATGATTCATGTACCTGTGCTGTAATGACGATATAGTATAGTATAATTTAATTAATATCATTAAGGTTATAAACATTAGTTATATTATAAATAGAAGTTTTTTACTTGGAAATGTATATTCTATCCAGCACTAGATTGATCAATTCTGAAAAGCTACATTTTAGTTTGCTTCTGTTTTCACTCAAAGCAAAACTCAGTATTCATGAAATCAAATCTCATTAAAAAAATATTTTATACATACTGCCATATAGTAGTATATTCTTAGAAGGGATGGACAGTCTAATGCCATAATTTAACAGCAAAAAATAAAAGATTTGAATAGGACTTAGTAATTTTAATTCAAATCATTTCAAAGTTTCATATAATCAATATAAAATATTTGGCAATATTTGTTTCGGTATTCGTTGATATTTATGGTTCTAGAATATAAATAACTTCATGAACTATGTATTACTTATAAAGTTAACAGTCATATAATTTAAAACAAATGTGATGCAAACATCTAGGATACAAAGGGAAATAGATCCAGTTTTTAACCGAAAACATTGTTCACTATCTCTTAGATATTTTTTTAAGAAATCTTACTTAAAGACTAACATATCATAAATGTATGCAATAGTTTGAAATTTGTTTTCTAATCTTTTTGAACAGACTTATTTAGAGAAACGATCCATGAAAGCATATAAAAAAGAAATAAATAGTTCAGAGAATTCTAGATCATCTTCAGGAAAATCACAAACAATTTCAAATATGAAAGAAAATTCATTTAAAACCAATGAAAATGTTGTAAATACAACTAAAGTAATAATTCCTACTCATCAAAGAAGAACTGCTAGTGTCTCACGAACAATAGGAATTGTTAAGCCTAATTTTAATGGGGGTAAGTGTTTTTTTTTCTGCAATAGTGCAATAGTGTGAAATGATATAAACAACATAGTGTTTCTCTATTAACAATCTACATCACGCTTATTTAACCAATTTACTATAGATTCATTTCACTATGACTAACATCAACTATGAAATCAAAAAAATTAAAATTGTACAAAATGAATATTGTCCTACAGGACAAACTGTGAGTCATATGTAAAGAAATTCTAACACTTTACTTCTACTTGAAGTTTGTACTGATGAACAATGAAAGTTCCAAGACAAAACCCCTCAGCTCAGAGAATAAAACTCTACCAAAATTAAAATTGCACAAAATTAATATTGCGCCTTATTTTAACTATAATATTAACCCTTGGGGAATTATATTCGAATACCTTTACATCTTTTCTTGAAAGGATTGTTAAGATTAATCTGCTTATAGTTGATTAGTCGGTATTTTTCAGTGGACATAATTTGTGATATGACCACGTTCTTAAAGCTATGGTCAAGTGTTTGTCCAGCTGTATGATTAAATCAAAATGCTACACAAATTCCCAGTATATCTCTTGAGTACATCAGAATACCAGTAGATCATTATACTCATGTTTCTGTTTGCCTGATAGGTGTATATAAAATTTTTAACGTTATTCTGGCATGAAGCTTTGTTTATAATTTGTCAGCACCAAAACGTTTATGCAAACGCTTTTCACAAGCTGTTTGGCTCTTAAATTCTCAGCACACTTATCTATACTTTAATATTAACGGCTATTGGAGTGAACAACAAATCTTCTATCTAGAGTCAAGTCATTTTGAGTGCCACTTTTATCGTTTATTATAAGAACAATTTCATCTCAGAAATACCGGTCAATAAGCCTATAATGCGTGTCATATAAATTCTATTTTTGCATAGATTGTTAAGAACCATCAAAATAAATGAAAGCGATTATTAATTTCCACAAGATTGTTTTGTGCTATACATAAATGTGTACTCAATAACCTGGAGTAGATTCATAGACCCGGGTTTATGCCAAAAATTGTGTGCGAAACTGAATAACCCTACCCGGTTACTCAAACTAAAGAAGACGATTAAGATTCAAACTTGAGATATACTAGTTTATTACTGAGTTTTTAAAATCATTTTTCCGAAGTCACTATCTGAAGTTCATTTCATTAAAAAATTATGTTGATAAAAATAAATCCGGTTATTTAAATCAGATCGGTATACCCATCATTGATCACAGATTAGAAGGTATAAGTGATAAAGAGATACTCCACTTAAACGTTTTCAGTTAGCAGGACATTTAAGACTAAAAATAAAAATACGTGATTTCAAATAGGATATGCAAGTCACTTCAATGTGTAACTTTATAATATCTTCTTGATATCACTTCTTCTGAAGTTGATATAATAATTTGCGCACAACTAATTATAACTTGAATTGAAAATACATTTTCAAATTCCTAGTGGGATGTTATGACAGTTTGAGGAAATCGAGTCAATAAAAATTATATATAGTTTGTATTATGTAACATGCGGACTGGATTTGAAATACTGGGCCATTGGTTCAGAACTATTTTTCTATCCTTGAAACCGCAAAATCTTGTATAGAACCTCATATTCGATCATGCTTCATGACTGTTAAGCAGTCTCAAACTAGTGTGCATCATTTGAAGTTTCATATCATGGATCCATTTTAATTAGGCAACCACTGGAAACCAGGAAACACTAGACATCTGTTTCGATCCTGTATAAGACTGTTTAGGGATACACATCCACAATCCTTCCAGGACTCGAAACAGGATGTTTAGGAATTCACTGAGATCTAACGTTCAAACCATTGAGTTGATACCCGATGTTTTGTGATTCTTCAGCTGATTCGTGATGTTGCGTAACCCCCGATCATTCCCACTAATGATATTTATCTGACACCCAACATGGCTGAAATCCACTGGTTAGTATTATGCACCACAACCCCTAAAAAATATCTCTTGAAGTTAGTCATGAGTATGCATATTATGATTGATATTATAAGGTATTGCGGAGAGAATAATTTTCTAATATTCGCTAGTTTCTCAGAGTTTGTTTATTTTTGCCAAACCATTTGAAGTTATCACGAGTTCACTTAATCTGCGAACGAGAACAAAGACTCGGTGACCAAAGACCAGCAAGCTAGCCATTGATGCGTCCCAGCCCCGCTAACTAGAGGGAGAAGTTCAAGCTCGGAATGGGAAAGTATATTCTGCAAACAGCTAGAAACAAGCGATCACACAAACACAATTCAAAACCTATACATATCACCACTAAAATAAATCACAATTTAAGCACATGAATTTTTTGTAACATCCGCATTTTGAAGTAGAGTTAATCAAGTCCCAGTGAATAACTTTTTATTTTACTAAGTTAAAAACTACATGAATTTTAATGAACTGAATATTAACATATCTTATAGGACAAAGAAGACATACACAAGATGAATTGTCTTTATTAGATGTTAAATCACAAAGACACATTATTGAAACTGGATCTTCTAATGATTTGAAATTATTTGTTCAACTACAAACTAAATCAAATCGTCGAGCTATTTCAAATGCATTAAACTATTGTTGTTTAGCAGGACCGGTAAACGAAACAATGAAAAGAACTGCACTTGAAGTAAGTAAATAATAATAGGATCTGTTGAAGGTAATCATTTTTTTATATTAAATAATGTTAACAGAGTATCGTAAGAATATTTTTCATGCTGATGGCTTACAGCTATATAGTGGCCATTGATTTTTTAATCAAGATATACGTATTGTATGATGTTTTTCGGGTGAGTAAAAGGTTTTTTAATTCACTATAACAATCAACGATATTGTCTAATTTCTGGAACCATATATCCTATCAAATAGTATATAAAAGAATATTATTATTCAGTATGGAATATTCCTATGTACAATAATAATAATAATAATAATAATAATAATAATAATAATAATAATAATAATAATAATAATAGTAAGAACATATATTTTCATCGATTAAGTTAATCAAACTGTCTACTTTATCGCTATACGACGATCGAATGGGAAATGAATATTCGTTGATATACACCAAGTTAGTTGTCTAATCCTTTCAATAATTAAGTCATAAGTTAAAACTTTTCTATGCCTGATTTCATTTATTCAGCCGGCTACTATGTCTATACCACAGATAAAAGCTGCGTCCAATAGGGTAGGTGAGGTACACGTTATTACTGTTGATCACATTACCTAGTACACTATTGTTGTTTTCTAACCGAAAGTATTTCAGCTAAATGCGACGTGAGACTAATCAAAACTAAATCGTTTGTTTTTTAAAATTTCCTCCAACGCCATAATATACCATAATGACTTTCTTATAGTTAGTTAATAAGAAAACAATTAATTTACCAACACTATTGAAACTTCTTCGACACTACGGCGTGCCTCAGAAGATAGTCAATATCATACAGAACTCATATGATGGATTACACTGCAAAATCGTGCATGGAGGACAGTTGACAAAGTCGTTCAAAGTGAAGACCGGTGTTAGGCAAGGTTGCTTACTCTCACCCTTTCTCTTTCTCCTGGTGATCGACTGGATCATGAAGACGTCAACGTCTGAAGGAAAGCGCGGGATACAATGGACATCTAAGATGCAGTTGGATGATCTAGACTTCGCAGACGATCTGGCCCTTCTATCCCAAACGCAACAACAGATGCAGGAGAAGACAAACAGTGTGGCAGCAACCTCAGCAGCAATAGGTCTCAATATGCACAAAGGGAAAAGCAAGATTCTCCGATACAACACAGAATGCACCAATCCAATCACAATTGACGGAGAAGATTTGGAAGATGTAAAAACCTTTACGTATTTGGGCAGCATCATTGATGAACAGGGTGGATCTGATGCAGATGTGAGGGCGCGGATCGGCAAAGCAAGAGCAGCATATTTACAACTGAGGAACATCTGGAACTCAAAACAACTGTCAACCAACACCAAGGTCAGGATTTTCAATACAAATGTCAAGACAGTTCTACTGTATGGGGCAGAAACCTGGAGAACTACAAAAGCCATCATCCAGAAAATACAGGTGTTTATTAACAATTGTCTACGCAAAATACTTCAGATCCGTTGGCCGGACACTATTAGCAACAACCTACTGTGGGAGAGAACAAACCAGATCGCAGTGGAGGAAGAAATCAGGAAGAAGCGCTGGAAGTGGATAGGACACACATTGAGGAAAGCACCCAACTGCGTCACAAGACAAGTCCTCACATGGAATCCTGAAGGTCAAAGGAAAAGAGGAAGACCAAAGAACACATTACGCCGAGAAATGGAGATAGACATGAGAAAAATGAACAAGAATTGGATGGAACTAGAAAAGAAGGCCCAGGACAGAGTGGGTTAGAGAATGCTGGTTGGCGGCCTATGCTCCATTGGGAGTAACAGGCGTAAGTAAGTAAGTAATATGATTTTTTAAAAAGGTCTTATTATTTTGGCGCCCTAATTGTAAACACAATGAGACTTCGACTGAAGATGAATCAATAACCGATATGCTAAGAAGTTATTTATCTAAGAATATTAAGAAACGTTTTTCATTACAAAACTTCTTTATCTAAGCTCCATCTTGCCATTTTGTAAAATGTTTCTCTTCTTAAGTCTATTCTTTATGTTACATTGATTTTCTTCACTTCTAATCATTCCGTAAAATTATACTCATTTTTAAGTTTTTTAATTGAGAATAAAAGACTTATTTAAGTGAATTTGTCTTGATTATTATGCTATCCATCGTTTATACCTTAATTATACATTTCATTCTAAGTTGAGCATATATTGTAAATGTATTAAGTTCTCACAACCCTCTTTGATATCATTCATATTTTGTGAATTAGCACTATAATATTGTTGAAATCACAAACTGATAAAAGTTAGACAACCACAGAAAAGTCGAGAGCATTTTGGTGTGACACTTCCCAACAGTTTGAATTCATGACTTCACACGCGGGGATCTGACCCAGGACCTCCAGTCTTGCACTCGAACCCCTAAACACTAGACCACTGAGTCAGCACCCACTAGTGTACAAGTCCACTCTCAATTAGCCCATAATATTGCGTGATCACCTTGGATTGTCTGTAGTGGGTACATTCCTCACGCTCTACATAATTTGGCTTTGATGGTTATGGCCTCTCTCTGGAATTCCGGAAGTTCCCTCTAGAAGCTGGTCACTAGTGAGCATATAATATTTATCAGTATAGTTTTGTGAAGATTATAGGTCACCTACAGAAAACAATTGGAGCTGGTAATGCAATATTGTGGACTGATCGAGAATGGACTTGTACACTAGTGGGTGCTGACTCAGTGGTCTAGTGGTTAGGGGTTCGAGTGCAAGACTGGAGGTCCTGGGTCAGATCCCCGCGTGTGAAGTCATGGATCCAAACTGTTGGGAGGTGTCACACCAAAATGAAACGACAGTTTATTGCTCTCGACTTTTCTGTGGTTGTCTAACTTTGCTCAGTCTGTGATTTCAACGAAATTTAACAATCTCCATGACCTCATACTGATAACTAATACTACAATTATTTTGATTAAATATAGTAGTGATTGCTTATAGTTAATTGCTATCTTCATATTCCAATGTCTACACAAAACATTACCTCTTCTCAGTAAAAAGAGACAAACAAACATAGAATGCATTGGCACGAACACAAAACCATGTTGCTAAGAGTCATTTGATAGAAATCCTTGAGATATAATAACCTTGCATTTTATGCCGTGGTATTTCGGGTCACTTAGTCCAGTAGTCACAACTCAACTCGACTGATAGAATTACTTCACCGCTTTGAACCAGACAGCACGACACTTGCTACTATTCAGCCACAGTTGGATACATATATATTTTTTCATTAGGGCGTTTATGAGATGTTAGAGAATAAGTTGTGAGGACTGAGAATAATTTGCTTTTTTCAAATCAAAAATAGTCACGACAATTTGTTTACATTAGGTTTTTTAGACGGTGGAGATTTGTAGTTTAGAGAAAACAAGTTGTTAGCTACTTGTATAAGATGAAAACATTTTCAATATCTACAAATTTGGAAATAAATATATCGTCCTTTATTTTAACACATAATCGTTACAATTCAGATGTTTTCTTCGAACTTCATAGAAGCTATTATTCAGTTCGAAGTGAAACCACAAGGGATATTATTTAAAATGTTTAGAATTTTATTCGAATATAATGTTAATATGAAATCAGATATATTGGAAGTGTTGTAAGTATCTCATATTCTTTCACTATTAAGTTGAAGAATTGACATACATACATCTAAAGAATATGCGAGACCAAGTTGGGGATTTTTTCAGTATAGTATCTTAGTTATTTAGAGATCTACACAATAATGCTTTAACCGGCCTCCAAGACAAAGCAAACATTACCGAAACCAAAAGTATATCAATAGAACCATAAATTCAATAAAAGTATAACCAATTTTATGCGATTTTTTAAATTCTCAACATAGGTCCTGGGTTCGAATCCCGCGGGGTGCGGGATCGTGGATGCGCACTGCTGAGGGGTCCCATACTAGGACGATACGGCCGTCCAGTGCTTCCTGGTTTTCCATGGTGATCTAGCTTCAATTGACTCATGATTTCAACAAGTGAAAAATATTAATAGTTATCATCTGATACCTTGAATAATAATACTCCCTAGTGGGATTAAAATAATCACCAAACTTATAAAAACAGAAGAGAATTTTTAATAATCCCATTAGTGTCTCAAAACAATTCATGTTCATTTCCTATTTAAGTTGACCGTAAATATTAAAATTAATTGTATTATTTAATTTGACTTATATTCAATGTTATTACACTAACGGGTACGCATGACTTCACCCTACTGTTTGATGTTAACAGTAGTAAACATATTTTGCGAAACGTTTAGATAATGGCAAAACAGACAATAACGTTTTCAGTGTCATTTAGGACGCCTTTTTCCTATAAATAAGCCAAAGCTTAGGTTAATTAACTGAAATAGTTGTGTTAGTAAAGTTGGATTTTGGTTATTACTGAAATCCAGATTTCTTGTTAGTTCTTATTTGGGACTTGTCAGCTGGTTATATCTTCATCCTAGTGTTTATGCTCACACTGAGACTCGAACCCATTACCTTTCTCTCCAAACGTCAACGTGTTACCAATTGAGCAACAGAGTCAAGATAGTCACAGACTTTCCTTACACATTACATAACAGAAGTTTGATTTTGTACAAGTTTCGTGAATCTGATGAGTTTACCAGTAGCTTATCATCAATATTAAATTCAATTGTTCATTAATAACTAAACAGTAGATATATTTATTAAGTGTTCACAAATTAGTAGTGACATAATACTAAAGATCATTATATAACTCATGTAGCCTAGTTACAACAATATAAGATTATGTAACTTCTACATTATATGAATAAGTAAACTAGCTGTAACACAAATAAATTGATAATGGATTATACAAAATGGAATAAGCTTTTTGAAATAAAAATTATTTGTCTCATTAATAAAACATGAAGGTATCAACAGGATGTGAAATAAAAACTAAAACAATTACGAATGTTACTAAACAAAATTAGCGGAATCGGATTGGGATAGGCGAAAACTAAAGTATACGAAATAAAAATGCAATGGCTAAGGTCAAATAATGAGAAAAATAAGAGATTTTCTTTTGTAGATTTCACTCATGAATGAGTCAAAGCATCTGTTGTTTATAGGACTAGGATGACCTTTGTAATTTGCGAATAACACAATTTTGAAGTATATATATGTCGTAGGAGATGCAAACGTTCACCATTTTTAACAAATAACATTGTCAAATTCATTAATACATGCCTTATTCTTGGCCTTTGTAAAATATTATAATTATGGACTTATAACTGTAGAGCCTGATGATGAAGTTATTGAATACAATTGTTCGCTCAAATATTCTTCATTTTTGAATATCATACAATCATTTAGTCCAACTTGATCTTTATTTTCTAGTTGTTTTTCATCAGTAGTACTATCTCCTTGTATTTGAAGTTAGTCATCTATATAATAAATCATTCTTATAAAATGCAAATTATTTAATGTAGATGAAAAAATAATAATAATTCATTCCATAATGCTCTTTAAACTAGGATCAGACAATGTTATTGTGAAAAGTTTTTTTTTCTTAGGTTACATAGCTCTATTTGACCGATTGTCTTAAAATGATGATAGATTGAATGATGAGTAACAATTATTTATGGAAATTCAGTTATATTATTTTAAATGATTGAACAGTAAAACATGAAATAATTTGGTCAGTAAAAAGATTTACATTGAACTAATGAATAACAAACAATTGAAATTAATACAATAGATCATGATTTGCATTAAAAGAAAATAAATTTTAAAGAAAATTGTTATTTACAGAAATTAGTATTCATCTATTCTCAGAAAGGGGTTTTTGTGAATATTATAGTAATTTGGCAGTTGAATTCATGAGTCACTCGAAGCTTAACAACCATAGAAGAACTGGAAGCATTGGATGGCCGTTTCGTCCTAGTGTGAGACTCCTCAGCAGTACGCACCCATGATCCCGCCTCGTGAGATTCGAACCCTGGACCTATCGGTCTCGCGCGCGCGAACGTTTAACTTCTAGACCACCGAACCGGCATCCAACGGTGTGAATGTCTAACTTCAACCAATCCACGAAATTGAGCCACCGTTCGCCACTGTCTTCACTGAGTTACTTTCTTACAACAGACCCGGTTGAACTCCACTGGTCACTGCTTCTTACTAGAACTCCAGGATATACATCTTGAATCCAGTCACTAGTGAGCATATGATGATTATTATCAGAAGGGGGTTTTTGTGGATATTATAGTAATTTAATAGCTGAGATTATGAGTCAATTGAAGCTAAACCACCATGGAAAACCTGGAAGCAATGGATGGCTGTTTCGTCCTAACGTGGGACTCTTCATTTATTATTCAAAATGATAACTCCATTAGATAAAATAATTGTGTGATAGTAATTTCAAATAAATCTCATTGTTTCTTCTATTTCAGGCTCTTGGATGTTCAGATGGTAAACATTTTATAATTCTTTTAAAAAGTCAATGTCAGTATAGTGGATTATATAATTATTTACCGATTATTGAAAAAGCGATTCGTATTAGTGGAACAGGACCGAGTAAAATTGAAAACAATATGGTTGATAAATACTATAAGTTAGTTGATTAGACAATAAATTTCTATAATTGTCCTATGGCTTATATTTGCATTTGATCACTTTTAAATGGTAATTGCATAATTCCATTTATTTGGTCGTTTTTAAATACCAGTAAATTTCATGTGACTAGTGTTTAAACCATTCAGCTTTCAATTAACAGACTACAAACTCACACACATTTCGATTTGAACAGTTTTATACCATCACTCCCCTTTACATAATCACTGTAATTCAAGGCTGAATATTTGGCTGTACATAAATTTGATTTTCAAGTTAGATAACTGTTACTATCTAGTTAAATATCATAACATCCGTCATCCATAATATATACAAACATAACTGCATTTGGTTTTCAATATGGAATGGAAAACCACTAAGAATCATGAGATAATGGATGGAGCCCTCATCCTAATTTGGGAGCTCGTAGGGATGTTCCCTTAAACTCCACACAACAAACACAGTACCAACTAATATATTGTGAAGTTGAGGGGCTAAGTCTTAATAGCTTACATTTCTGACTGTGGTCTATTCATTATATTATGTAACTATCATTTACTACCATTGATGGTATCTGTGTGGTTTTCAATATGGCTGAAGCAAACGAAGTTTCATCAGAATTTTGTAAATGCATTTCAAAGTCAGTCATTGTTAAGATTTGGGTTCCCGCAAATTATTAAATTGCTTTATAAAAATTGTTAATTAATGTACAATCGTTCAGCGTACACAAGTTCTCGATGGTTCCCCACTAATATCATGCTTATACCATACCACTAATAATGAATCTAGTATTATTTTACTGTATTCGTCGATTGATTGATAGGTTACTCCGATTCCTAAGTCCCCAAACTTCCAATCAGAACACTAACAGATTAAATAACTGATTACCAGTACGATTATTTATAGTCACAACTCACGTTCTTATATAGATAAATTACAAGATCACAACGGATAGTTAACAGCAATCCTCAATAGGTACACCCTTAGAACATTTGTGATACAAAACTGATTAATAGCTGTATGATTTACTAACTTATATTAATCGATTGACAGAAAGCTTTCCAATCGTTAATGAATTGAATGAAAGCTTACAATTAAGATAATATGAAAATGCTATGAACCAACTATTTAGTAAATACGTAAAAAATATGTCGGTTGATTTCCATAAAAATTGTTTCCCGATCATCATAATCTCTTTTTCACGTTTCTTCTTAACAAGTTAAAGAAAAAATTCACTTTGCTCGTTTTTTTAAATATTTGTATCTCTTTATGTCCATTTAAGATATGATAGTGGATTGAAAAGATTTGTTGAAATCAATTCCACATCACATATGTCAACTATTATCGATGCCATACAACTACATGGACGACCACGTAACTATTCTACAAAATCGTATGCAGCACAAACAACAAATTCAACTAAATGTCCTCTACATGCAAAATAAAAACTTTTAAAGTTAAAATCAAACTAATTTATAAAAACAAATGCATTCACATTACATTACATCACTTGTTTCGGTCACTATCTGGTAAATTAAATAAATGTTATTACACTAACAAATAAACCAAACAAACAGACAAACACGTAACATGGAAGAAATACACATAAATAACAAATGTGAAGTGTTCCTTCTTTCATTTTTATTTAGATTTATTTTTCTTATGTCAGTATTTTTTCCTCAGTAAAATATTCAAGTAATCAGAAGTGTTTTCTGTAAATTTAAAATGTAATTTAGTTTAATTATAGAATGAAAATTCATGGATTATAATCATGAACATGATACCTCGAAATAGCTTGAAGAAAATGTTTAGCAACATTCATTTATATAATTTAGTTGTAAACATAAATTGGATGCTAATTGAAGTTAGTTTGAGTCTCTAAATAATCATGGATTCAACTTGACCTCATTAATTTACCATAAATATCATTGAACATATGTGAAAAAGGTCAAGTTTGAGACCGCCGGTTAAAGAGCCTAAGTAGGATCTGTACTTGATTAAAATTTGATAAAATATCAGTCAACTGTTTGTTGGTCTGCTTTTTCGACTGTCAGCTCCTTCTTTAAAATAGGATCTAAACTAGGAATTGAGACATTTAAATCTATATCATTATTATTATTATTCATACTAGACTTATCTCGTCCCGATGTTTTTGACTGGATTTCTGTATATTTTCAAGTTCATCTAATAATTAGTTACTGCACGTGAAACCTATTAGTCGTACAACCACTTTGATGATACTTGATTCAGTATCATTGTTTTCGTAAACATCATCTAACTACAATTGATTTTTGTCTTACACAACAACAAAAAGTCCACATAGATAGTGATAAAACAATACAAACTCAATTATGTACCGAAATAACAGAAGTCTATTCTTTACTGATGATAGCACCATACACCTTTTATTGGAAATTACTAAAAAATAACAATTTATCCATAAGAACATAAAATGTCAGGATTTCCATCGAGAATATGACAAACATTTGAAAATAAGATTGTCATATCATATATTATGAATCATCATTTCTTGTGATGGTCATTTCCCACGTTGATGATAATTGGTGTTAAAGATAATTTGCAAAATCAGCGTTTCCTATTGCACTTGACTTTAGACAATTTTGTGAAGTTCCCCCAGACAAACTAACTCCGAAATCGCGTTTACAAAACCTTAATTTATAAGATTAGTATAAACAATTTCGTAAAACACAATATTTGTGAACTGATGAAGCGGGAATTAAACTCGTATTCACAAATTAGTAAAGAATTTTTACATCGTTAAGTCTCAAATACTTTTTACCAATATTCATTGTTTTATGGATGATTGTGACTCTATTTTAGATGCAGTTTTATGCTTAAACGATTGTGTAATGACACGATTCTAAATTATTATTCATTAAAAAGTTTACCAGCTTTTATAAATCATAACTGAAAAGCTTCAAAATACAATTCTTGTTACCTTTTTCAGATATATTACTGAACTCAGATCGTTTACAAATTCATAAGTTTCCACTAGTCAAGATTAAAATACCTCGACATAGACATGGTGTGCAAGCTTAAAAAGGCTTGACTAGGTAGCTATGGTAATCAGATTACACCTCTTTCTAAACGTTTTCGCTAAAAACAACCGAACAAACCGTCTAATAAGTTGATTCCACTACAGTTGATTTACAAAATACAAAATGAAATCTTACAATTGGCCCATAACCACTAACTACGCTACTTGTTTATACGTTTTTTTTAAAATGAAAATCACATAATTTACACTGAGAAATAAAGAATTTAATCGATTTACCGGTATACATGTGTAGAAATATATTTCAAAGAACAGACAAAAATACTGGCAAACCCTAACAGTAGAGTAAGGTACAATTTGTGTCATTTTTAAAAGCTGAAGAAAAAGGGAAATTGAGAGGGGAATCGAGGACAATTGATAAGCTATTCGACATAATGCTTATATGGATTTCAAAACAATTTCATTGGTCAGTAAGAACGATTATGAAACTAAGACAAAGATAACTACAGAGAATTAAAGGAGATTTTGAAAATTTATTCAGTTTAAAGGTTCAGAATGGTTTGTAAAGTTCACTGAACAGAAAGTATATGATACATTAAAGCGTGAAAAGATATGCAGATTTGATGTACTTAGTAATGTTAGATGTCAATGCAAAATTTCGGCAGTATTGCATTTATTGTAATACTATTCCAATCTGTAAAATGATTTTAATAGAATAAAAGAAATAAACAATCAGTACATTTGACAAATAAAACAAACACAATAAATGAATAGTTGTTTCATTATTTTGAAAAAATATATCAAACTAAGGTAAATAGGATATGAGAAAAAAATTAGGCTGAACAACAAGGTCTTAAATGAATCGAGAATGAGTGACCTGAAAATATGATTTCCCCCAAAGGCATCTAATTATATTTATTTTTCCGTTAATACTTGTGTATACATATGTGGTTTATTCAATAAAAGAAACATATTCTGATAATTCCGGTAGACTGAATTGAAATGTGAGAAGACATTCAAGTTCTAGACTCGAACTTAGCACTACATTTAATATCCGACTAAATAGGTTTTCAAAATAAATGAAGTTATATATATATATATATATATATATATATATATATATATATATATATATGTTTTAACACATAAATATTGGTACAAGGAGGCACCAAATATATATGCGCCACACCATATTTGTGTGTGGGCTGTCATACTGCGCGGGTGCCCAGACCAAAACAGGAGGTTTTCTTAGGGGGCCACACCCCGAGCTTTCGACCTAAAGGTCCAACCCACAAGGCAGTGGAGCATCGTGAGGAGATGCATTCCCATGATAGCCGGTGACCAACGATTGGTTCATACGCCATTTGTTCCCGCAGGATACTGGAGCCCATGTGCACCATTGGTTTGGAATCCGGTTAAAGCGCCGGACATTCGCTTTTCGTCCTCTCATTTTCGTAAACAACATCCCCGTCACGAGAAGGCAGTGAGTAGGACTTCCCTGGCAGAGGTTGTATACGCGTGACCGTGTGAGAGCATTTCGAGACTATATACGCGTGAAATGTACATCGACATACAATGATATCACACAAGTAAATGAGTACTTAAATTTTTAAGTATGAATCTGCTGAATGCCTGAAGAATATTTACTAACTCGAGAGTTATTTATATAGAAATCTATAATATTATGATCAACATAGAATTTAAAACACTTCAATCAGAACTCAGTGTGGTATTATACATGAAATTAATTGAACCTTTGTGGTAAGATTACAAATGAATGAAAACCGTTACTTTTATAGAATGTAAAGTTTATCTTGATTTAAACCATTGTTTTTAAAGAGAGAATGAGTTGTGATGTCGTTGTTAAATGACGTGCAATATTTACCAGTTTGGATTACCATTACTTTGACATTAGTATTTTTCATAATATTACACCAAAAATAAACTTATGAATGTATATAACGCCCGTGAACTTTAACGATACAAGAAATTCAAGAATTAAGGAGAGAGAAGGAATGAATAAAATTTTATCACGGTGGTCTATTTTGAGGTATACAATCTAATATCTCCATAAATTTATTAAAGTTGTCGAGGTAACCTTCAAGATGAACATTCAGAGGCCTCACAAAACGTTTACATGAAGCAAAAGAAAGCGCTTCGAATACAAATCAATTAAATAGAAAAGACAACAGAGAATATTAAAAAATTAACAAACCTCAGAGGGCTTAGTGAATGGACAACGCCAGTTATACAAATAATAATGTAGATCACCGTCTCCAATGCCGAATTTTAACTCTTCCAGGAACTTTCCATTCTCCATTAGATCCAAAGCATTGAATACGTCAAACTTTAACTGTAAATTATAAGAGTATTGATACACCATAGTGAACAAATGAAGTGAAAAACATGAAATGTACTAAAAGTAAACAATCCAATGTAAATCTTAGAAAATTTTCAATGAATCGATTGAAAACAATAATAAAAAGTTGGAGACGTCATAAAAAGTATTTGGAAACAACTAAAACTGGAAACAATAATAAAGGAAAGGCTATAGACTTTTGCAGTTTGAAAGGTTGATAATTTTCGTGATAAAGAACGTAACAAAACGATCAAAAGGTCAATACATGAAGAAAACTATGAACTGAGTCACGAAATACATGCTTGTGTACTCAGTGTGGACTAATCTTTAGTTGTATGGGGCTCATGGATACTATTTAGCTTTTCAAGTTGAAGAAGATAAAATGATGTGTGTAAGATTTACTGATTAAAAGTTTCATAAAGTTGTTTCCCTTCGAAAGTTTAAATAAAACAAGAATGAAACCGATGGATGTATGAAAGGTAATAAGTTTGATTATTTTAAATTATTAACATAATTTTAAAAAAATGAACGGTCTAACAATAAATAAAACATCCTAGAACTACCACTTTTATCATTTATAAAAACCTGTTCAAGTTTAGTGTATAACTACATTTAAATGTAAATCTTTGCTATTTATTATTATCATTATCATCATCAGCTTTATTCAATATTGTATTTTTGGTACAATATAGAATTCTCAGCGTAAAGTGTTTCAACAAGTTTCCGTTTCTTTCTTCTTGGTCGGTCCTGGCGATAAATATTGAGTGATCGCCAGTTAGATGCTAGCAGTTCAGTAAATGAACATCTGAATAATGTGCATTGTTTTCGCTGTATATTGCCAGCAACCACATTGTCTCTTATTGAGTTTTTTGTAACTTTGACAACGAAAGGTTGTACACTTTTCAGAAACGCAGCAGAATAGGTCATGCGATTAATAAACATAATATATTAAAACAAACAAAAATAGATAACTTGTTGAAGTATCTAGATGGCAGGAACAGGTAGCCCAGAAGCTCAATTCATCTTCTCAAATTGTATTTTGCAATCTCTTTTTGCTTTATGTGTGTTAAGTGAGACTATAATCTATGGACGAACCAATCGCGTAGAAGATAAAAGGTCTCGGATTTTGGTGCGAAATTCACTCATCTATTTGAATAAATAGAGTTTTGGCATTATAGCTGATGTCAGTTCGTGATGAAAACCCGAAATCTAATTCCTAACCTTAATCATCAACCGTAAATTCTAATTCTAATTCCTCACACAGGTTTATAACACTCATTTGGTCTTGGTTGTTAGGTGGATGCTCTGAAGGTCAGTCTAGCGTCGCTCAAAAGTCGTCCATAAATTATAGGCTCACCCTGCGTTACTCATGAGTAGCTTGCGTTTCATTATCTTATCAAAAACTGTTGGCGGAATATAAAGCACGTTCTGTGTAGGATTATGTTAAGGGGTGCTGATTAGCTATTTCTTATCCAATCAGCGCTAGTGGATATTTGGAGAAAACTAGAATCTTCTCATGCAAAATCTATAAATATACTAACGTTTTTCTGATTGTGATTCCTACTTCTATCTACCTCTTGTTATTTGAAACATAGTCTCGTTCCTCTTCAACCGTGTTCTGATTTGGTGATTTGTCTAGTGAAGTAGTGTGCAAGAACATTAAGCAATAGGAGTAGCTGGGTCTCAATAAGAAAAATTATAACAAAAACTAACAGTTTTCTTATCTGTTGACACACCTTTTATAAGTTCGGTCATGTTGAACTGGTCACTTTTGTGGTTATCAGTTTTGAGAGTTGACTGTTGTTATAGAGTTTATCATCTTGAATATGAGTTCCTTAACCTAACATAATAATTATTTTTTGTAAACCCAATTATTTATATATATTCATAAATAAATATTTCAAGAAGCCAAAATAATCTTTTAACTTTAATCAACGTAGGGTACGCTAATCCGGTAAATCATACAAGGTATTCGTAAGCTGTAGTTCAATGGTTAAATTCCATTAATTTTAACTAGTAAACTAAAACATGACAGTTATTTCGTGGACACAAACACAGTCATAATCCAATTTATTTAGAGGAAACTACTATAAAATTTATGATGTACAGAAAGATAATTAATGGATGTAGCCAGTGATAACTATCGGTAGGGAATCGGTAGTGAAACTAAAAAATTATCTGAATAAAAATTCACCATCATTTTAACATTAAAACATGTTGATCCAGACACCTGAGTTTATCTTTATATTTTCTGTACAGCTTCCTGAAGCATTAAAGAGGGGAAATATTTCTTTAACAACATATATTATCCTCAATTTTAATTAATATAAATGTATACCAGACATATATTTACATATCTAACAAGAATATATATGAAGACTTACTTGTTTGGCTGAAATCAACATATCTTGAATTAATGCAGGCCATGGTGTTACCGTAGAAACATTGTAAAATGAGTAGGCCGCGCGAAGGCTATTGTGTTGTTTGCTTTTCATGACTGAACTGGGAAGGACATAGAACGAACAGAAGTCTGTGATTTGCCCATCTCCATTCTAAAATTAAGTGAAATAGAAAATTAAACCAATGAACATAATCAGTGTCGGATAAATGTGTTTCGGCTTTTCGAAATTGCAGAATGGAGTTAAATTCTCTCACCAACAAAATTAACGTTTATAGGTACCAATGAAGGATACATTCGGATGTTGTATTTATAAGTGCACAGTTTTTTATAGATAAACAAAAGATTCACATCTTGCAAAAAGGTATGTCATAACGAATTATTTGCTAATTTGTATATGATGAAATTAAAAAGCATTATCACATAGTATTGGATTGATAGCCCCCAAATGCCCTGTTATGGCCGAGAGTGAGGTGGGAAATATACTCTCACACGGCCACGCGTATACAGCCTCTGCCAGGGAAGTCCTACTCATTGCCTTCTCGTGGCGGGGGTGTTGTTTACGAAAATGAGAGGACGAAAAGCGAATGTCCGGCGCTTCAACCGGATTCCAAACCAATGGTGCACATGGGCTCCAGTATCCTGCGGGAACAAATGGCGTATGAACCAATCGTTGGTCACCGGCTATCATGGGAATGCATCTCCTCACGATGCTCCACTGCCTTGTGGGTTAGACCTTTAGGTCGAAAGCTCGGGGTGTGGCCCCCTAAGAAAACCTCCTGTTTCGGTCTGGGCACCCGGGCAGTATGACAGCCCACACACAAATATGGTGTGGCGCATATATATTTGGTGCCTCCTTGTACCAATATTTATGTGTTGAAATGAAGTAAAATAAAAGATTGGATTGATAACGACTGTCATTTTAATTCTCCTATCACTAATGCTTATTAACTAATATTACGCAATATAACTGAACGTGTAATGGATGAGAACCCATGAAATAAAAATCAATTCATGTTATTCTGCTACAATTTGTTCTTGCTTTATTCTAATTCATAAATGGAACCAAATTATAAATGATCACATAGTTGAAAGTAAAAAGCAAAGTAGAAAAAATATATAACATTAAACAAATATGAAATAATAATAGATATTCACCTCAACTATGAAAGAATACACAACATCATCTCGAGGAACAAAGAAATGCTGAAATTCTTCTTTTGTAAAAATTGGATGAATATTAAACTTTTCCAAGTACTAAAGCAGTGAACCAATCAACAAAATGAAGAACATTTTTGAGAAAAAACAGAAATCAAAGTTATAATAACACTGAATTATGGGAATTTCTTTAAAAATGGCTACATTTGAACATTACGAACTTTTCCTATCATCTTTTTTTAGAACCTCATTATTGCGTACACCTTTCTGTATCAGTTGCTAAGACATCTGTATGTAGGGAAACAATAAATTCATAATCTACAGGTTAAATGAGTAAATTATTAGGACGGGATTTACAAGCACTGCACACACTACAGAGCTAAACAATAACAATTACTCCTAGTTAATAACGAACACGAAGTTTTTGTGAAATATTAGGCTATACTACTTTACCGTTGGAAAATACACCAATAAGGGAAGGAGGTTTCTAATAATCACCATTTTAAATTTTGAAACCGTATGGGTACTTTTTAGATCCGACGCCCTAAACTCGTGACTTGGATGGGGCTGATTTTCAAGGAAAACTTAAAAAGGGTATAAATCACAACTCACTGTCTTGTATTATCGTCATTTGGAGCATGAAGTGAACCTTCGACGTTTCAGTAGTTTGGAGGCTAGGTTAAGATTTATTGGAGGTACAGAAAAAATTCTGGCTGAAGACTGTGGCGCTGAGTTTACTCATGTGCATTTACAGACGTGTTATAACATGTACTTTCGGTGTTAACGATGTAGCTACTACAACAAAATGCACAAGACTTCGTAGTTATCCCATTTTTCTACAATACTTCATATACTACCTCCTAAATACAACTCTATACTTGCAAGGTATGACTATTATATGTATTCAGAAAACAGTCGTATATTCAAAAACGACATCACTTTTGCTGATGCGTTTTGCTTATATTTTATTCTTCAAACTACTAGCAGCTTTATGATAGATGTTTATTCGGAATAATTGATGAACTGTCTTTTGAAGTAATAAACTCTTATTTTATTAAGTGTTGCTTTTATAGAAACCTGGTCATTTTCAGAATACAGATGTAATTAATAAAAAAATTCACCTCAGATAATAAAGGCCATGCTTTGGGAACATCTTTTTTTGTCATTTGACGAAAACCTTTGACAAGAGGAGCTTCAGGTAATCTGTATAGTTTAATTGTTCGTTGAAGAGTCATGTTGTGAGTAAGATGTGAAAATCCACATTCAAGAAGTTTACGTGGATTGAGAGGACGATGCCAATATCTAAGAAAAGTAGAGAAAAACTATCTACTGAATATAACTATCAGCAAAAATCTTAACTCGTTAAACCGGCAAAAAAATAAAGAGCCATATCAGGTAAGCAATATAGCTTCGATAACTTACAATCAATGAATGGAAAATAGTGACAACAACAAAAGTTTTAATAACAGTTTTAAAAAATTATAGACCTGTTTTAGTAGTGCAAACAAGGGTTTTTAGTCAACCATTGTAGGTGATCTTAACACAGAAGCAAAATAACCGTTAGCAGTCTAGATATATCTCAACTTTAATGGGGAAACCCACTATCTGGTGTAAAGCATAATGCTAATTATGCATCAAAACTTCTATAAATCTAAAGATTTATTAAATACATAACCATGAAATTGGGGCAAAAATTTACCAGAGAATAAATTGTTTTCAATTAATTTCCTTATTGGTCTGTAAACTACACCTCCGGATAGTTTAAATTCTGCAAAATGTGTGAATAGATCTTTAGTATCAAAACTACATACTGATTACGATTAAATGCAACAACACATTCATTGAGAACAAAATAGATATTTGACATGCTACTGTCCTTATCGACCAATCAACCTAAAGTTTACTTGTATGAAAATACCTTTGGATAAATTAAATTTTGAAGGCAATAAAACTGTGAAACATACCGACATTTGCTGACTGGTTTTGGAAGTAAAGTTCCACTCGTAAACAAAGCCTGAAATCTCCCACGTAGATGAACACGACGAGTTACTTCTCGAATCAGTACAGGGGCCATACGTTTAGAACGTAATTTTTTATGGACACAAAGATAGTTGACTTCAACCAGCTGTTTTGCTCTGAGGTAGAAATTAAATATAAAACAAATATAAAAACATAGGTATGTTTTCCCAGATGCCTTAGTCGCTTATATGTGGAGCTGCGGTTGGCTCATTCAATAAAATTTGCGGACGTAAAAGAAAAAATCTAAAAACACAAGACACCATAACTTAAGAACAATAAGCACTGGACGATTTCAATATTTAGACAGAACATCCTTGCTGTAGGATCATCTTAGAATCAATTTGTGTGGAATAAACAAGCTTTATATAACTCAAAGATATCCATAAAGCATAAAACGTAAAACTATGAGACAGATAGATAAAATAATACAGAACCATGCAAAAATACTAATCGGACAAGGTTGTTGCTTTTTGCAACAGCACGAAAAGAGGAAAATAATTAGGCTGAAAGAATAGTAGAATAAACAAGATATGGGACTAAAAGAGGAAAATAGATGATGAGTTAGAAAAATATAAAGATCTAATCAATCCGCACCGTTGCGTCAGGTTGCGAATCATATCACTTATAGTCTTTACCTACTAATTCTTTCTATCCTTCCAATACGAGTCAAATCAATAAGTCAATAGCTTTATGAACTAGTGCATTTCTTAGGCTGGCTACTCAGAATAAAAAGGCAACTCAATATTTTATACAGTTCTTTGACTTTCAGCAATAGTCTATATAATGCCAACTGATAGCAAGGTCAAGTAACAAACCTAGGGAGAAGATACAAAATCGCAGTCATCTATAAATGATAGACATCCTGAACCATTAACCAGAACCAATCACACGAACATAAACTAATGTCCAACTATTCCAATTCACCTATGTTAGGATAAGAGATATTAGGTACATGGCTCAGATCCGATCACAATGGCGTAGGTGTATACACTCTCTGTCTTCCCTTAAACTATGAGATTAAAATTGCTTTATATCTTTCTTTCTACCAACCAATTCTTTCTTTTATATAATACCACTATTAAATTAACTACTTCTATGAATTCGGTGTTCATCTTGTTGTTCTAATGAGATATGGCCTCTCTCGGAGCACAGATTTTGTCCCCAAATGCCCTGTTATGGCCGAGAGTGAGGTGGGAAATATACTCTCACACGGCCACGCGTATACAGCCTCTGCCAGGGAAGTCCTACTCATTGCCTTCTCGTGGCGGGGGTGTTGTTTACGAAAATGAGAGGACGAAAAGCGAATGTCCGGCGCTTCAACCGGATTCCAAACCAATGGTGCACATGGGCTCCAGTATCCTGCGGGAACAAATGGCGTATGAACCAATCGTTGGTCACCGGCTATCATGGGAATGCATCTCCTCACGATGCTCCACTGCCTTGCGGGTTAGACCTTTAGGTCAAAGGCTCGGGGAGTGGCCCCCTAAGATAACCACCTGCTTCGGTTTGGGCACCCGGGCAGTATCACAGCCCACACACACATGATGAACTTTTATGTCTATGGAAATTACTTTTCTCGCTTCGAAAAACAACCCCTAAGATAACCACCTGCTTCGGTTTGGGCACCCGGGCAGTATCACAGCCCACACACACACAAATATGATGAAATGTCGATAGTTATGGAAAATACATGTCTTGCTTCGATTAACAATCAAACAATTCAGATTATTATTATTACTATTATTATTATTTACTACGTCATTTATTCACCCTCTTTTATTCCCATTCTGTGTATACTTGTTTTTCGACTTATACAGCAGCTCGCCTGTGGTGGAAATTCGGCTCTATCTAAACGTTCTCGAATCACTGCCTGGTTGGAAATTGTATGCTACCACCAAGTACGAGTACTGAAGCAGTTTTTCTGAAACCGCGTGCACCATTCAAACTGGCTGCCTTCAACGTTCGCACACTTATGCAGGTTGGACAACAGATAGGGGAGGCTATGTCTTTGGAAAGTCTTAATATCGATGTTTGTTGTCTATCCGAGACCCGTATTCAAAACTCTAGTGAAGTACTACGAATTCGCTCTCCATCTGTCGCTTCAAAAAGCTTGTTTCATCACCTGAGTTTATCCAGGGACCCTGTGGCATCTTCGTCTGGTCTTGCTGACGTTGGTGTCGCACTAAGCGCTAGAACTGGGGCAGCACTAATCGATTGGATCCCCATTAACAGTCGGTTATGTGCTGTTAGGCTAGAAAGTTCCATCAAAGTGAGAAGAAATCGGCATGAGAAACGATGTCTTTTCGTCATCTCCGCCTATGCCTCGACAGATTGCAGCCCAGATGCAATCAAGGATGAATTCTACCACCAGTTAACTGTTCTTCTCCAGAAAGTGCGTTCGACAGATATTGTAGTACTAGCCGGAGACTTGAATGCTCAGGCCGGGCGTCTAGGCACAGATGCGAATCATTTAGGTGGTCGATGGGAACTTGTTGGTCGCAGGACAGATAACAGGGACTGTCTACTGCAACTGTGCACAGACCACAACCTGTTTCTGGCTAGCACTAACTTTCGGCACAGTCATCGCCGATGTGCCACCTGGCGTCCTCCCTCTGCATCCCAAGCCTGGACTCAGATTGATCACATCGCGATCAGCTACCGCTGGCGTGGTTGTGTACAAGACTGCTGTTCCTTTTGGAGTACCAATCTGGACTCTGATCATGCCCTGGTCTGCGCCAATCTTACCTTACTTTTCAGTGGCCAACGAAGTGACCGCCACCAAAGGATTGATGTCAGCAAGTTGGTTGCAACTTCTATTGCTAGTAAGTATCGAACCGAGCTAGCTTCTAGGCTAGCTACCATTTCACCGAAAAAGTATAGATGAGCATTGGCTGCAACCTCATCACGCCATGAAAATGGCGAGTAAAGCCGCTTGCAGCTTCAAGAAACATCCCACTTATAAGCACTGGGTTTCTTCAGGTTCCTTACAACTCATTGAAGCCCGTCGGTCTACTCCGGGTGACCGTGAGTTTGACAACAAACGAAGGACGTTACACAAGGAAATCGGGCAAAGCTTGCGTAAGGACCGAGAAGCCTGGTGGTCGGGGCGTGCTAATGAGCTGGAAGCAGCAGCTGCATCTGGTAACTACCGGAAGCTCTTCCAACTCATCCGAGCCACTGGCAGCAAGAAGTCTGGTATGAGCGAAACAATCTGTGAGGGTGACAGGATGCCAATCACTAACATCAACCGACGTCTTGGACGATGGGCAGAATTCATTGAAGGACAGTTCAACTGGCCTGCTACTCCGGCAACATAGGTCGGATTGTCCTGCCCTCCATGGCCGTTGACGACTGATCCACCAAATGAGGAGGAAGTCCGCAAGGAACTCCAACTCTTGAAGCGCTACAAATCACCGAGCCCAGGTGACTTACCTCCGGTGTTGACTTTCTGGCTAAGGAAATGACGACGTTGTTTACAAAGGTCTGGGAGCTAGAGAGTGTACCAACGTCATGGAATGAGTCGATAGTTGTCCCCATCTTTAAAAAGGGTTCACGTCGTTCCTGTAACAACTATCCAGGGATAAATCTACTTCCGATTACGTCCAAGCTATTGGCTTCCGTCATACTTCGTAGGTTGTTCAAAACCCGAGAAAGAGTGACTCGCGAGGAGCAGGCTGGGTTTCGTTCCGATCGAGGATGTATTGACCATATCTCTACCCTCCGCCAAATGTTAGAACACCGTCATACGTATCGAAGGCCAACAATCGTAGTGTTTCTTGACATCAGGGCTGCCTTCGATTCGTTGTACAGGACTGTTCTCTGGGATTGTCTATTGAAGAAGGGTGTGCCTGAGAAGTTTATTAACATCCTAAAGGCCCTATATACAAACACCTCAGGCAGAGTGAGGGCATACAACCACCTCTCTCCATTGTTCCATTCGAGCAGTGGGATTAGGCAGGGTTGCCCAATCTCACCATTCATCTTCAACTTTGCCATCGATAACCTTCTGGAAACAGCTCTGATGGATGTAAGTAGTGGTGGTGTGGATCTGTTGCCTGGAAAAAGACTTCTCGACCTTGAGTATGCAGATGATATTGTCTTACTGTGCGATAGTGCCCAAGCCATGCAATCCGCACTTAATCAGTTGGCAATCAGTGTCCGTAGGTATTGTATGTACATTGTACCTTCGAAATGCAAAGTACTTCTACAAGACTGGCAGGATTCTAATCCTGTACTCACCCTGGATGGTGAGCAGATAGAAGTAGTTGAGAAGTTCGTGTATCTAGGTAGTTGTATAAGTGGCGTGAGTGATGAGATCAATGCACGTATAGTGAAAGCCAGAGCGGTTTATGCCAATCTGGGTCATCTTTGGCGCCTTCGTGATGTTAGTCTGGCTGTAAAAGGTCGGATCTACAACGCGTCGGTGAGAGCAGTTTTGCTATATGCTTTTGAAACCTGACCTCTTTGAGTTGAGGATGTTAGACGACTCTCTGTGTTTGATCATCGCTGTCTCCGAAAGATTGCTGACATCCAGTGGCAACACCATGTTAGTAATGCAGAGGTTCGACATCGTGTGTTCGGGCACAGAGACGATAATGCAATCGGTGTCACCATCTGAAAACACCAACTTCGGTGGCTTGAACATGTTTTACGAATGTCGTCCCAGAGAATTCCACGTCGTGCATTATTTGCCGACGCTGGAACTGGTTGGAAAAAGCGAAGAGGTAGTCAGTGTATGACATGGTGTCGTGGTACTAAAGAAAACTGCAAAGGGCTGGTTTTTGTTGGTCCTTCACGACTCCCTGGCTGGGTTCCTAGAGATGGTGCTACACAGTGGCTAGAGACGTTATCAGATATGGCTCAGAATAGAAGCCAGTGGTGATCCTACTGTAACCTTCTTTTACTTTATTCATAGAAAATGGTTGTTTCTTCCTTAACCGAAAGATTTCTTTTGATTGTACCTTATCATTTCCCCCAGTATTACTAATATTATTATCATTATTATTATTACACTACCTTACATTAATCTGTTCGTTATTGTTCTTTTTTTCTCTTTCCATTCTCATTGTTTTGTGTGGTGCATATATATTTGGTGCCCTTTTGTACCAATATCTATGTGTTCAGATAAATAAAATAATGGCGAATTGGACCGATGCATATATGTGCCTGGTCCTAGGTTGTATCTAACCGACTGACTGAGGTACATGTTTTGTGTAGATATAAAAAAGTCAAAAAAGGTGGATGAGCCTCTTACTTATCATATATCTGTAGGTGGCATGGAATAGCTGCTATAAATCCAACCAGTTTTTTACTTTTAGTTACACGAAGTCCAACATGCCAATCTTTATGCCAACCAGGTGACTTTAAGATCCTAAACGAAGATAAATTGTATATAAAGACATTTTTAATGACATTAATACCAAAGAATAGAAATTGGTGTACTATGAGAATAAAGTTCATATGAAATATGAATTGTAATTATTTACAGGACCTAGGTGACTACAACTGGGACAGTCGCTGGACAGATATTATAATGCACTGGTCAGAACTTAAACATCGCGTGAACATACAACTTGAACGTGTTTTAAAAAGAAACAGAAGTATATTCACTGGAAAAAAACAATGAAAATCTAATGAAATCTAAAATATAACTAGTTACTTAGAAGAAAATGGAGATAAATATTATATATTAACGGCGCATCTTGTTAAGAAGCACCAGAATAAGATGAGACAACTATCCATTACTCTCTGATTTGAAATGATTTCATGGCTGTCATATTCCATGACCTACTTATTTTGTTCACCCAGTTTAAAACACATTGTGTGAGAGCTAGTAGTAACACCCGGCTGCAACGCCAGTGGGGTCGGGTTTGAACCTGGGACCTACTGATTGAAAGTTGAATGCTTTAATCACTAAACTTCACTTCGCATACTTTTCAGGGAGTATTACTAACCCTCATTAGAACTGTTTGCATGTACATAAACCTATAATTGGTAAAGAAGTTATATGAAATGACCCAATGATGGGCGAAATAGACTTTGGTTACACTTACCACTGTAAAAAATGCTTGGAATAATCAAATCGGAAGAGATGATCATCGTCTTCAACATAATTTTCATACAGAAGATCATACAATTCTTGTAGCTATAAGTATTAGCAAAATGAAAAGCCAGGTAAATAAAAATGTCATAACGTACACCGAAACCAATTCATACTTTTCTTTGTAGTAAATCATATATTATAGTAACCAGTCACATGTATTCAAGTCCGTGATATAAATGGGCGTAAATAACTGAGAACCTAAATCCTAAGTATACCAGTTTAGTGCGCAACATTTGTTATCAAAAAAGAAAGGTGAAAGGAAAAAGGGAAAATCTTGACATGGTTACAAATCTTAAGAATGAATATACCAGTTTTAAAGTATATCATTTGATGCGATGCTTTTGTAGACTGATACTGATCTGTAGACCTAACATCTGATTAAAAACTACATACTAGTGTAGAAAATTCGAAGCATTTCAAACTTAATATCTTTACTAGCTAACATGGCATCGTCAACAACTATTGTTAGCACTCATCAAAGCATTCACTGAGTAATGTTGATGATGGGCTTCGCCAAACGCACCATATTGTTAGAGTACTCAATGAATAAGATACACAATGGCAAAACTACATTACCACCCTTTTGTATACTTAAAATCCGCAACTCTAGTAGCCGGAAGTATATGAATCGCCAGAACTGTCCCAAGAAAATCACTTAGACTGTGCAGTTTGCTATTTGATGCACATAACTGCTGAACCGTAACGTATCCTATCGTCTTTTACCTCGAGAGACAAACAGACTACACCTGCAACCATATTAGCTTTAAAAGCTATCAAAAATATAAAAGCTGGTCAAAATTTTAATTTTCAGGACCAATATAAATATAGGGATAGAAATTAATGATAAGCTGATTATTCAGTCTCAAGGTGGTGTAATTAAACAGAAGGAATACTTGGGGAATATTGTAGACTATTATCAACCAATTTCTGCTTTCAAGAGTCATAAATGTAAATTGCAGCTTTTGATGCAGTTCGTGGTGAGAACTAAGGAATTCATATATTCGTACCAAGACGATAAAGTGATTAATAAGAATTGTATTTAGGTAAAGTGTTAATCGTAACCAATTAAAATTTCATACTTCGAAGAACAGCAGATAATAACATTACAATTGTTCAGAAAGTTGTCGAAAATGAAAACTTACCTCAGTTTCATCATCCAGAGAAACTTCACACCAATAAAATCCTTCGGGTAATGTATAAGGCTGTGAGCGGATATCTTCATGTTTTGAATCTGGTTCAATTGGACCGTTGTCAGTAATCTCTTCAGCTGAAAGGTAAAGCATAGATTAGCTTAACACGACAAACTATAGTTGTGTTTTCCACTGGCAAATCTTTTACTGATATTTCGAGCACTATCTACAATTCGATCTTTCCCGACCGTAGCTGCTACCTTGACGTGGTGGTCGGGCTTTCCTATCGTGATAACCCAACCGAGCTATACTGGCTTGGACATATTTTCCTGTAGGTTCTACCACGTCAGGCAGGTCGATTGGAGAACGGTAGGACTAAAAGCAGCAACTCAAGGTCTGAGGGTGAAGCCGTACTGCTGGCTGTAGAGGGGTGTGGCAGCAGTAAGCTGTTTCCTTCGGACAACCGGCATCTGCAGAGATGCTGCCTTCTCACAATGAAGGAAGGGGTTAGAAAAGCTTGACCCAAAAAATGTCACACCTCACCATACATCACGGATTTCCGTCTCCGGCGGTAAGGCCCTTTGAAGAACGGAGCTAGCACATTAAAAACCTCCCACGAAATGGCCGTGCGCGACCGGCCTCAAGCAGTTGTCCCTTGGGCTCTGGGGTCACGCTCACAGGTTGTTAAGGCCAACACTAATCCGATTTCCTTTTCCGGTTTCTCAAAAATACCCTTCCACGGTGTGGGCAGCCGGGAAGTGATATCAGCCCTCATACCCGTAATAGCACACGACACCAAGTTGGTCACATTCAAATCCTTCCTACACCTCCTAATAACTCTCTTAACCTCACGACTAACCCTTCCCAAGTCTCTTTATCACCTCGCACCGTTAGAGCAAACGATTCGAGTACGCGGAACGTTATTCCTGGTCTCCTGAAACCACGCTCTAAACTACACGTAGGAGCTTTTAACGTCCGAACACTGTGCCAAATGGAACAACAGGCTTCCTTAGCTAGGACTTTAGAATCTCGCACCATCGATGTGTGCTGCGTCTCCGAAACGCGCATACAGGATCCGAGCAGTGTCATTCATTTGACCTCACCATGTCAAAATAAAGAACCAACTCGATTCACGCTTCATGTATCTGAAAGCCCTGATGGTGTTTCCCGTGGCCTCGCTGGCGTAGGTACAGCATTGAGTTCTAGGGCAGAACTAGCTCTCTTAGACTGGATCCCAGTAGACAGTCGTTTGTGCACTGTCTGACTAAACGGAACAGTAAGGACTCGGAAAGATAGCGACACTAGTCGTTGCCTCTTCGTCGTCTCTGCCTATTCTCCCATTGACTGCATCTCAGATGATGTAAAAGATGAGTTTTACAGAAAGCTTCCCGACCTTCTCCGAAAAGATACGCGCTCCGATGTAGTAATGTTGGCTGGTGACTTCAACGCTCAAGTGGGTAAACCGAGAGAAGGGGAAAGACACCTGGGTGGATCTTATAGTGTCATGGTTCAAAGGACAGATAACGGTGACCGTCCGTTGCAGCTATGCTCAGATGACCGCCTGTTCCTTGCAAATACTAACTGTAAGCATAAGGAAAAACATATTTTGACATGGCGACCCCACTAATTCGTCCCAACGTTGGACCCAAATATATCACATAGCTATCAGTCACCGATGCAGGGGCTCGATAGAAGACTGTCGCTCATTCTGGAGCACATGCTTAGATTCAGATTATGTTCTAGTGCGAGCGTGTATTTGTCTGCGTCTTACTGAACGTAAGAAAGACGCTGCAAGGAAACGTCTTAGGGCCCTACTTAATGAAAGTCAAGCTAAGAGTATATTTCAGGAACAACTAGAAAAACAGTTAGGCAGCCATGTAAGTGATGCCCACCCCGAGGCAGCGTGGAATGACATACGAAAAGACGTGGAAACAGCAGTGATATCTGCTAGTACGGTAGACCACAAGTTAGAGAGAAACACTGGATCTCAGCAGCATCTACCGCGCTGATAGATGCTCGAAAACTCATCCCATCTGGCTCTGAACATAACGAAGAGCGGAGTCAGCTTAGGCGCAAGCTGACAAGAGACCTACGCAATGATCGTGAACGGTGGTGGGTAGCGAAAGCAAGAGATGGAAAAGGCAATGGCAATAGGTAATAGCAGACAACTGTTCAGGCTTGTTAAGGAAACCGGCATTAGGAACACGACTGTCAGCGAAACAATCTCAGAGAAAATGGACATATTATACATTCTCAATCCAGGAGATTGAATCGATGAGCAGAACACTTTAGGGATCAGTTCAACTGGACTTCAGATACACTTCGGTTTCCCACGATCTCCAATCGACCTGAATGGCAAGTTAATGTAGGCCCTCTGACTCTTGAGAAAGTTGAAAAAGCTATAGGAAATCTGGAGCGTGGTAGAGCAGCAGACCCTGATAGGTTTACTCCTGAGATTTTTAAGGATGGTGGTCCAGTATTAGAAGTGAGATTGACTGAGGTCTTAGATAGAATTCGGGAACTGGACGTAATCCCATCTGACTAGTCTCAATCACTGATTGTGTCAGTCTATAAGAAAGGACAAAAGTCCTCTTGTGACAATCACAGAGGAATCAGTTTGACTAATATAGTGTCTAAAATATTAGCTTCCATAATACTTCGACGCCTAACCAAAGCTCGTGAAGAGCAGACTAGAGAAAACCAGGCTGGTTTTTGACCTGGACGTGGTTGTATAAACCAGATATTCACACTACATCAGGTCCTAGAACATAGACAAACATTCAGACGCCCCACAATCGTAGTATTTCTCGACCTTAAGGCGGCATTTGACTCTGTTGATCTTGAGATTCTATGGCAGTGTTTGTCACTGAAAGGAGTACCAAAAAAGCACATTAACCTTGTAAAGACTCTCTACTCGAACACAACTGGTCGAGTGAGAGCTTATGGTGAACTGTCATCAGTATTGATTACATCAAGTGGTGTTCGTCAGGGTTGTCCACTCTCTCCATTCTTGTTTAACTTTGTCGTTGACGTGCTTTTAGAGATAACAATTTCCTACCTGGTTGGGGACCGCGAGATGATAGCAACTGATGGTTAGAGACCCTGAATGACATGGCTCCAAATCGTTTGCAATGGCGCAGGTGCATCCACTCTCTGTGTTCTCCCAAACTCTAATCTTCTGAATTCTTCATATCCCTTCCTTTTTTCTTTTTCCAAATTTATTTCACTGGATTATACTCCTTGAATAACATCTTCAAACCCTAATTTTTTCTGATAACAGCTTATAATTTTACTACATCTAGCACTACGGGATTTGAATAGGCCACTGCATCTCTGTGCTAATGTGGTGTGGCAACTCGAACTGATGTACGTATGTACGAAGTTCTACGTTGTTACTGACTGACTGACCAATCATCTACAAACTGGGATATAAGTTTTGCCGTACTATTTTACATAGACGTCAGTGTTATTAGTTTCATATTCAGCATTGTGATGTTCTGAATGTTTATTAATAGTAGTTTTTATTCATTTAAACGATCTACATCATATATGCGTAAAGTTACACAACTAGATCAAGTGATCTTAGAACACTGAAAAACTAAAATACTTATCAGTAAAGAAGTGAAAATGTAACTTACTGAGGTCAGGAACTGGCTGTGTTCTCCAGAATCGATAGTCATTTTTAGACTTCTTTTCTGTCACACCACTAGAACTACCAGATCCAGAGACCAACATGACGTTGGTGAGTTGCTTTAAAAGTTTCTCATTAATCCCGTTTGGGAATTGTCCAGATGACAAAGATTTATCAGTATTAGGAAGTGAGTTAGAACTATCCGACACATCAGTTGTATTAGCTGGTTTTTTCATTTTGCTTTTTGAAGACTGTAAAGAAAACACAAAGATATAAATTGTTTAAGGAAACGCAGGCCCACGTCATTTCAACCGATTTTGAACCATATCATTCAACATCTTCAACTACAGGTCATGATAATCGCGCAGATACTAGCCAAACAGTCTGGCTAACGAATTTTCAACGAAAAGTGATATAAAATATTAGACGTTGGAGCGCAAACTCGAGAATGATGAAGTATCGAATGAGTTTGCAAGTAATAAGTTTAAAGTGACCTTTACCATTATCCTATGGTATACGCTGAAATGACAAGTGGCATCAATCAGTCGACACAAATTCTTCAAGTCGTACATTCAGCCATAACTAAATATAAGATTCACCGCAGCCAGGTGAAAACAAGTATGGAATTTTCAACCCACGTGATGGGTAATAATCCACTGGTAGTTCTTTATAAACGCTTTCATTGTAAGAACTTATCTACGAAGTACTACGAAAGCATGTTTTTTACGTAAATGGACACTTAACGAGTGAAAGGAATACTATGAGACCTGTGAATTTGTAGGTTCCCGTTTTTCTTGAGATGCCTCGGATGAATACACGCACTGCAAGTCCCCCTGCCTAACAGAATGGAATTGAATGGATATTCCGAGGGCTAAGATATTTCAGATGTACGCTATCTTCTTTTTACCCTCACCCAAAAAACCCCGGTTAAAAGATACTTGTTTTCTCAAATGCTTGAAATAAGACTCACAGACAAATATGATTGAGTGCCACTAAGGGTCAGTATCTTGGAGCTTATTTGACTGCGAAACGATTCTAATGAAAAATAGGGAGACTACATAATGGAATGACGGTGTCTAACAGAACAATTACGGGGCGGAATGTTGAGCTTCCCTTAGACAGAAGTGAATTCTTGAAAAAAATACATGATATCATGCAGTCTTTCATTTCTATTATAAAAGCACGAAATTAGCTTGCCTTGAATAGATTTTCATCACCAAAATTAGAACTCACATAGATTTCTAACTTCTACTTTAGGAAACTAAGTATGTAAATGACTTCCCATCACTGCCAGATACCATTTTGGGGAACTCTGGGTAAATTTCGGGGAAAAACCCCCAACGTGTTGTAAGATTCTGTGGAATATATGGGGGAAAACCGAAATTCATTCAAACATTTTGGGGATTTTGTGCCATTTCCCCAAAGTTTCCTATTGTGATTTCTCCTAGATTTACCCGGAACGGACAGAATTTTGCCCAAAATAGGGAGAGTGGGTGTGATTAAAGCAGTTAGATTATTTTGATGTACACCTTTGCAAACAATTGTTTCTTTCTTGCGAAGTTACGTTTTGTGTGATATTCAACAGTACTGATTACGCAAATGGCGAAGAGCCATCGTCAAACTTACTTCCTCAGGTGTGTCAGTCATGTTACTGCGGGTCGTAACGCACAGTCACGAAGCCCGCGAAGTCTAAATGAGACCAAGTAGTAAGGATAGTAAGTCAGTTGACCTGTGCCATTTCTTGAATTAAGTACTTTCCTAGAGGTCACGTTTCCTATTAAAAAAATTCGTCAGTAGGGCCGGAACCAGATACGGTGTTCAATGCGCTGACTGTTCAATGTAGAAACGGAATCTTGCTCTGAGTTAATGAGTTCATTGTTTCCAAACATTTCTGGGAGACTATGAAGATGATTTTGTAGCAGCGAATAAATCATTAAAGTTACTGATTATGCAATTTTTCGACACTGATGCTGACTCCATTAATTTCACTAGACAAACCTAGCTGAAGGCACACGGTCACGAATCCGCAATAGATTGTTGTGACTTACTTTTATCACGAGAGCACGATTGGTTTAATGAAAACAATTATCATAACCAATTGTACCAGTGACTGTTTTAATGTGCTCTTTGTTTAACTGTGCTAAAAACATTCATAATATTTCGATTGTGACCTCGCGCGAATCCAGTTAGGCTCAGAAACCAAGCTTGTATCCTGGCATGATCACGGTATTCTCTCGATACCACGAGATCGCCAGCAAATATATCTCGACTTGGTCCACTAACTGCCTTCTGATGTTTGGCTTCCGGGGGATTTTATGGACATCCTGGCACGCTTTCCTTGGTAGCGGTGTTCATAATCAATATCGACTTGACACCGCGCTACAAGATCACGAGTGGTTACGACGTGCTGCGCATCCGTTTCAACTGTTAGCCACCTTAGACCAAACCCCCCTCGACATACCGATAGCCTATCAAATGTATCTTCGTGCCACTTCATTTCTGAATTCCGATATGACTGATCATGCGACAAGTTTATTCAATGATTTCTGTAGCGACAAAATAGAGACCTCATTATTTTCTTCGTCACACTTCAGTTGTAGCCTTATTTATATTCAATATGTTTTATCCCTCTTTATCATGTGTAAAGAAACAGATATGATTGTTTCTTATTATACATACACACTACCGCGATTGTTGAGAAATAAACGCTATCTCAGCCGTCCGCTCTTCTGCTTTATTGGCCACAGCCTTTGATTGAAAGTCGTGATAGTGCTATTACATTCTTTTAGGCTATCATACACTAAGTTGGAGTCTTGTGCCGGATTGTTTTCAAATAATACTAGCTAATAGAATCATCCTCACTACGCCGTTGGTGCCACCAGCTGTAGAGGAACCTTCGATAATCAAGTGAACTGATTTGTCGATGTTATCTCAGAGAGCAGCTTACAAATAACATTCATTTCATAATAACCGAGATCATTTTGTTATTTCATATACCACTTATATTGTAACAGTCAGTCAGCTACAACATAGGACCAGACACATATATGCATCGGTCCAATTGGCCATACCTCATCAGCCCAACACGATGAACACCAAATTCATAGAAGTAGTTACTTTGATGGTAGTAATAAATAAAAGAAAGATTCTATATAAGGATATAATACAGAAAGAAAGAAATTTCAATCTCACGGTTTAAATGAAGATGAGAAGTGTACGCACCTACTCACCGTGATTGATTCTGAGCCATATCACCCAGAGTCTCCAACCACTGGTTTCGATGGTGGCGTGAACTCCAACCCAGTAATCTGCATCTAATAACATGGTTCAGATCAGAAGTTGGTGACTTCAAGGGCACGTTAAAAACATCAGACCCTTTTAAAGCTGTTCGCGGTTCCGTTTCAATGACCTTGAACTGCTTCACAAGAGGTGGTCATTCGGTATTTCAAATGCTGAGGGTTCTTTGGGAGTCCGTTGGGCTGCATGGATATCACGTGTTTCCATAATAAAGTGGTCTCTTGCTGCAACAAAAACACAAGATCATTGCGATGGACGTTGATTTAGCTCTCTCCATCTCGTAGTGCACACGTTGGATCGATTGTTGCTTCATAACTTCCCAGTCTCCCCATTTCAGAGAACATTTCTTCCGGTCTGGGTAAATTTTGGTCCCGTTCTGTTCGCCTGGGAGGAAAACGTGTTGCGTGCAGATGTCACCTGAATCGTGGATAAATTGGGACAAGCCGGTGTCCCGGCCGTCCTATGCTTCTGGCTTACATAAGAAGATGAACTCTTACGGGTAAGCTCGATCAATTAAAAAATATAAACTGTATAGCTCATCATGTTCGTAGACATTGCAGTCAATGAAAGATAGATAACACTTACACCTTCCATAGTAACAACGATTTCACCACCCAGACGAAGCAAACAGAATGTGTAGATTCAGGGAAGTCAATTGTTACTTACGAATCATCAATAAGTAGGCAATAATGTGGTTTCTATAACGGTTGTCTTTGTGTAGTATTCTTTACGATAGAAAATATGGATCGAAATATAACAGTGTGGAGACGTGACAGGAACTGTTTACTATAAGGAGTTCTTCGTAGTAGTATTTTTAACTAAACTATATATACAACGTGTAAACTGATTCTTCCGCATCAAATGTTGTAGTATTGTTGCATCACTGGACTTTTGCACAATTTTTAATCTAGTCTTCATAGTTTCATGGTTAGATATACCGATAGTTTTAACTGGTAACTACTTGTGAAAATTGAAAACAACGATACGCCTGCTTTATAAGTACCAGTTTCGTTAGGAAAACTTGTAGTACTCTATCGATTTGGACTTCCACGCATGATCTTACAGATAAGGATCAGGTCTATTATCAAAGTAGTACTAGTACCGAACTAGACTACTAACAAGAGTTACTACGCAAAATACTGTATGGTTGTTATATTTATATACAAATAAGTCATAAAACGCACAGACGTGGAAGCAGTCAATATAAAACACAGTACTCGTCAAAATGTAAGTTGTTTCTCCACATAATCCTCCATATATATAAATTCGCTAATTTGTTCACTGTCATAGACATGATTATTAGAAAAGTTCAGGCCTTTCAATTAGTTAACGGAAGCCAAGATTTGCATATCAGAAACATATGACGTCTTTCCAGCTTCATGCAGTTTTGAAAAACAAGGAATCAGTCGTTAAAAAACTGTTAAACTTCGTGATCAGTATAAAATTCTATAAGCAAATGCAACCAACAGGATAAGTGTTGAAGATGGCACAGGTATTCAATGTTTGACAACGCTTTAACCAGTAATACCTTGTAATATAACTCGTACCCACCAAGAGGAAACAAAAAACAGAATCGAGGAGATCGGAAGATATATTTGTTGACTGTCAATATATCGAGAATCGTCTGATCTAATCTGGCTAGCGATTGCAGTAGATGTTGAGCACGGCGTTCCCACACGTGCTCTGGTGTGGATGCATGACCGAGCGCCTTCAGCTAGGTGAGTCCATTGAAACATGTGGTCAACATCCAATGTCGAAGAGTTACAGAGCTAATTATTTTTGGGATTTATTTACCGCCACAGATCACTCCCCTAATGGGGCAGTGGTGATCCTAAGACGTGGCCAGCCAGAAGTTTAAACCCAACGAGTTTGTCGTTGGTAAACACTCTTCTGATAGCTTGCTAGGTTTAGCAGCGTCTGGTCGTCTTTCCTTACTATAAGGGACCATGAAATACAATATAGTAAGAGAATAATTTAAAATCAAAATTTTGGTTCCTCGTAAACCTCATCGTCTTTTCCAGCCGTCCTAGAAAAGAAAAAAAAGAATATATAAGTGCATGTCGAAGTAAACTCGTACGCGCTTTAAGACACAAAAAAGGCGAAAAAAGGTTAATAACGTAAAAGCGAATTTTACAAAATGCTTTTTCAAAAAATATTTTTTTTAATATACATTTTAGCTAAATGATAAATATATATATATATAAGCATATAAAAATTTTTTTATATCATATATAATGCCATGAAGAACGGAGATGAAACAAAATGTTAACTAGTGTCTTACGTGCAGTAGTCATTTTAATGTTCTGGAAATCTTACTCTTCTTCCAGAACGCGTTCTTTAAGTTTATTTTCAGATACTGTCGAAGTATCATCGTGCATGTTGGTTGTCGGATGAGGTATAATAAGTGTCATAGTCGTGTCGTTCGATTGTACCGAAGGAAAATCGACGTAGATAGGATTTCCTTCTAAATACGCTGCTTTGAGGCGATCGATGCTGATGCTATCGTTGGTTCCGTTCTTATCGATTATATAATACTTAGGTTCGCGTTGAAGAACTTTGAAAGGTCCTTTGTATGCTAATTCGAAATGTTGTCGATGCGAGTCTCGGCTTACGAAGACGTGTGTACTATATCGTGAGTCAGGATGAACGAAAACATCAGTTGATTGAGGTCGAGTGGAAGCAGGTTTAACTGAACTCATTGCGTTTGTAAGCCTGTTCGTGTAAGAGGTTAGATCCATGCTCATGGAAGAGGATGAAGGATCCACGAATTCTCCTGGAACTCGAAGTGCCGTTCCATAAACGAGTTGAGCCGCAATGTATCCAGTGTCAGCTTTCATTGCATTGTGAATACCTAGTAAGACGAGTGGAAGCGCGTCGGTCCACTGTCAAACGTTTGCAGCTGATAGTGAAGCTTACAGTTGTCGGTGAAAGTGTTCTACCAACCCGTTTGCATATGGATGGTAGGCCGTCGTTCAAAAACAAGTGATTCCTAAAAGTGTGGTCAGACGGCGGAAAAGTTTAGATTCAATCTGACATCCGCGATCTGTAGTGATGGTTGAAGGGCAGCCGAAGTTTGCTACTCATCGTTCGACGAAGGCGCGGGCCACTGTTTCAGCAGTAATGTCTTTGATAGGTACTGCTTCTGGCCATCGAGTGAAACGGTCTACGCAGGTTAAGAGGTAAGAGTATCCATTTGAATCTGGTAAAGGTCCTACCAAATTCAAATGAACATGGTCGAAACGAGCATCGGGAGTTTTAAATGAGCCTAAGGGACATTTGTTGTGTCTGATAACCTTAGATTTTTGGCAGCTTACACAGGAGCGTGCCCACTCCCTCACGTCTTTATTCATGCCAGGCCAGCAAAACCGTTCTGCTATAAGCTTGATGGTTGCACGAACACCTGGACGAGAAAGTTTGTGCAACGTATTGAAGACTTTGTGTCGATAACGCTTCGGCTCAATTGGGCGATCCTCACCTGTAGATGTGTCATAAAGTAAGGTTTCCTTAGCTGTTTCCATCCGTTT